AGGAAAAGGGTAGTAGTATCCATATTGTTTAATATGGAAATAAGATATTGAGGTAATAATAGAACAAGATGTGTGGGACAAAATATGGCTATCTTAATCAAATAAACCTACATCAACAATTGTGGGTTTTTTTATGACATCAATGCTTTAACGTATGACGGAGTACTACAGTTAGCCAACCTAGCAACAGTAGCACAACCAAAGCCTAATGCTGCATACTTATATGAAATCAAATAAAAGATTAGCACCTTCACTTTCTGTTTACTATGAATAACATAAAATGCTAGTGTTTGTTTTATAGTGCAAATGTGTGTTCTCCTGAGGAACTGCTCAGTGGTTTCCCCTTTTGGTAATGAAGATAGAATTTCCCTGAATCTCACTCCATCACACACTGTCAAATTGCTTCACTAGAATACACCCCAGTTGTGTGTGGGATGTGATGTGATCCAACCACTATTGATGATTACTCAGAGAGACCTTAACAGCAAAACTCAGAAGTAAATCCCATTGGGAGATAACCAATGAAGCACAAATTTCCACTGTGCAGAAGGACGTCACTTTCCTCTCTCCCCCCTGCAGTGCTCTGTACCAACCTCACCCCGGACCAGACTTGTAGGGGTGTTTTTTTTGGGGGGGGGGTCAGAGAGAAAGGGGAAGTTGTTTTGCGGGAGAACAAGTCAGTTTTACTTGTGTGCTGATGCTGTTGAATGCCAGCCATTGACTTCAACTGGACTTACTTGCAGTAACATGTACAGTGGTACCTCGGGTTAAGTACTTAATTCGTTCTGGAGGTCCATTCTTAACCTGAAACTGTTCTTAACCTGAAGCACAACTTTAGCTAATGGGGCCTCCTGCTGCCGCAGCGCCGCCAGGGCACGAGTTCTGTTCTCATCCTGAAGCAAAGTGCTTAACCCGAGGTAATATTTCTGGGTTAGTGGTGTCTGTAACCTGAAGCGTATGTAACCTGAGGCGTATGTAACCCGAGGTACCACTGTATAGGATTACATGCTACGGCTAAGTGTGTGTGTCTTCCTGGGAATAAATTCTATGAAATTCAGTGGGACATGACTTCCAAATAAGCCTGCATATATGATCACAGCCTATGCATCCTACAATGATGAGTTAGTTACCCCTGTTAAAACTGAGGATTTACAAATATGCCTTGCAAAAATGAAACCAGTGTTCTGAGAAATGGACAAGCCACTTGGAAATAACCATCAAAAACTAGGCATCTCTTATTACCTGGATTTAGTAATTCCCTGGGGACAGTGGAAGTTTACTTTACCTGCTGCTATGTATACAGCCTTTTGAAAATAATTCCTGTTGTTTGCACAATGAGAGTTTACAGAGAAGAAAAGTATTTCCAGTATACAAGATCAACCTGAGTCATTGGCACACAATACAAACTGTTCTGTGTTAAACACAGAAGAACAAAATCACACCCTACAAGAACTGATTTTAAAAATACAGGTGGGGAAGTTGTCTTCCATACCTGCATTTGCACAGCTGCATTTAAAAGTGTTGTGTTAGTTGAGGCTTGTGTTCATCATTTTTTTTCTAGGCAAGAAATAGTATGTGGTGCAGCCTTACCTAGACTCTAAAGGTAAAGGTAAAGGACCCCTGGACGGTTAAGTCCAGTCAAAGGCGACTATGGGGGTACCCACTTCAGACTGCAGGTAGGATATGGTATGCTTGAATCCTTGCCATGGAAAAAAGTCCCTGAATCTGGAAATCTAGCATATTAGGGGGAAAGAAAGAAAAACTAGCATGTTAAGTCGGTTTTATTTGTCTTATTTATTAATTATAGTATGCATGTATATCATTTCATAAAAAATAGAGTGGTTTACAACCATTGTACATAAGACCATACAATGAAAACCACATTAAAAAGTTTAAATCAGGGCATGGAATTGCATCAAGACATGTACGGTAATTTCCCAACTGCTATCTGAAGTGGTAACTGACTGGACATGTACGTGGTTCCTTCCAGTTCTATGATTCTGTGTAGTCTGACTACCAGATCTTCAAACTGAGGATTCCCTGCTTTGCTGACTGACATAATTACACCAGTTTGAAAATGAGACTGGGAATGGTAGTCTTCAGGTTAATCAAAATAGGTCATGTCAAGGGACCAGCTAGCTGCACAGCTGATTTAGCACTAGTGTTTAAATCAAAATGATGCTTGGGTGGGATCTATGCCTTAATGCATAAGTTCTCAAAAGAATATCTGAACGACAGTTTCTCTTTCGGACTGGATCCCCTGTGCCAGCCCTGGTAGACCCTGCTCTGCTGCTTAAAGGTATGATAGGGGTTGTAGTCCAACAACATATGGAGTAGGCTACCCCTGCTGTAGGGTACCCTTCTTTCCTGAATATTTGCTGAGCTCATCCCACAAACATGCAGGCATGCTATATATTTGCTCCCATTTCCACAATGGGAGAGAAGCAGCTCCTGCTGGCTGGCCTGATTAGGCAACTTCACCTGTGTAGTGGCTATCTCAGCAAACCAGTCCAGAGTGCCACCAGTAGCTGACTCCCCAAAATCACTCCTCCTGCCATTATTTACATGATCTCCAGAGGTAAACCCCATTATTGTGTCATTCCCCAACCCATCTGGTTGTCAGAGCTGGTCAGGGTGATAGTGCCACGTATCCAGGGTCAGGGATGGGCTATATAGTTAGATAAAACAGTCCAGTTTCTTCCTTGATGTACAGTATTATTATTGCCAGCAGTGAGACAAAATAGCTACCAGTGTTACAAGTGCCAGGAGCCACATTAATGGCTTAACCGCTCAACTTAATCTTTAAAATACCTCAACAGCTATTCACCTTCTGGGAAGAAATGACAACCATTTGGCTCTTGCTTTGTTGCCTGGTCAGATTGACCAGTTATTTACTAATTTGAAACTTTTCCAAGAATTATAAATCCATGTATCATTCTTTGGTTAACAGTGAATTACAAAGTGTGTACACAATATTAACTTGTAAGCTGCAACTGCTTGCTCTTTTTAGCTTTCATAACTGATGTGAGTTCTGCTGGACTTCTTGCTGAAGTTTCGATATGTTTGTCCATGCTGGATTCTTACTGTCTTTTGTTTGCGTAGTTTTATTGTTGCTGGGTTGCTTTATTGATTTATGCTTTTACTTAGTTGCTATATTGTATGTTTCACTTTTGTCTATTTAAATGTGTATATTATCTGGATAATTTTAGTATTAGACAACTCATATGGAAACAAATACTGAAGCCAACTGATGTCTCTTTCAGATATTGATTAGTTTCAAGCTAGAATGCATGCCCTTTTTACCTATAACTTACTGCCCATATATTGCTCAGATTTTATATTATATTAAAGTGTCCAGACTATTGCAGACACATTCTTGGAAATCAGATAAGGTGCTGCAATGGCAAGGAAGAAAGCCGGGCTAGAATGGGCATGTCACCTCTTACATGGCACACTGGGGCAAAATTTGACTGTCTTATTCACAACTATGTTCCTATACAGTGGTACCTCGAGTTAAGTACTTAATTCGTTCCGGAGGTCTGTTCTTAACCTGAAACTGTTCTTAACCTGAAGCACCACTTTAGCTAATGGGGCCTCCCGCTGCCGCCATCGCACAATTTCTGTTCTCATCCTGAAGCAAATTTCTTAACCTGAAGCACTATTTCTGGGTTAGCGGAGTCTGTAACCTGAAGCGTATGTAACCCGAGGTACCGCTGTATAGTTCAACATCTTAGGTGTTGCTGATGAGCAGAAATAAGCTTGATAAAAATACCATCTCATTTGTCCCACCAACTCTGCATTCTTCAAGTATTGTCCCATGTTGTGGGTCTTGGGAGCTACATATTGAGAAGTGGACATCACTGCCACTCAGTATAGAGAGGAACTCAATACAGATAGGTTTTATCTTCTTGTGCCACTGCATTAGCCTGATTATTTCCAGTTGTGGTAGCATACTAAAAGGCTGTCTGTACTGAGTTCAGCACGTGTCATCAGAAACCACACAGTCCTCTCATTCTTTCAGTGCACACTGCTAGACTGGATTTCAGCATGACTTGGCCCATAATCTTGGTCTGATCCAGCAGTGCTGCCACCAATGAATTTCTGGGATCCCACATGATATTGAATGCCTCTAGTACAATCCCTACACATTATTCATGGGTGAATTTCCATAACAGATGTAAATGGCGCCAACCACTGTCACAAGCAATGCATGTGTCTGCAATTATATTCTGGTTAGAGCAGCTAAATGTCTGGATTTTCAAAGACGGAATTGACGTCCAGGAGGGAATTTTGTAAATGCGGCACTTTGTCCTGGATCTTAAGCAAGTCAATCGAAAAATTTCGTCCTGGTTTTTACTTTTTTTAATATGGCAACCCTATATTCTGGAAACTTCAGTAAACTACTAAGAACAGCGTTTCAATTAATAGTGGTTCCAAAACTTTGCAATAATGATATTATGGATGAAACCACTTTCCCCAAAGTAACACAGAAAGTTTCATTTTAGATTTCTTCTCTAAAAATCTTGGCTCATAATAAAAGGTACTACGTTGTTGGTTTTTTTGTTGGTTTTTAAACTTCCTCAAGAAACTTGAGAAACCTTAGGATGACAGATGTATTCATGGGTCAAAAGTGCTCTTCAAGTGAAGCATTTCATACTGAGCATGCAGGAAGCCAAGTATCGGTTGAGACGGAGGTGAAAAGGTGACACTTGTTTGCTGTAAATTATGTTTTATGTGTATCTGTTTGTACACTAAGACCTACAGTCTCATATCATGAAATGAATCTATTGTAACCCCAGTGCAACCATTTACCAACAGGGCTTCCTGAGCAAGTGGGGCTTATTTATAGGTAAGCATGCCTTGAATTTAGCACCGAATTAACAACTTTTCAAGCTACAATCATGTAAGCCTTTGGACTTCAAAGAATGTTAAAACAAAATAAAAAACCATAAATAAGCTTAAAAATGCATTTATTGAAACAGCCAATAATAAGCTAATAATATTACTTTGTATCTAATTCACCACTAGGGTTTTATTCAGCATAAATCAATTGGAATTTGCCCCATTTTGTTTTCGACTATTCTAAGAGCTTCCAGGATTTTAGCTAGCCCCTTTCATTAGCTAGCTGGGTTACTTAAGATAACCCAGTTAGGGTCACTTTTACACCTCCAGCACTGAACACCACTATGTGGAAGTAGTTTTGGGAGGTTTCCATGCAGGTGATGTAACATTTAAAGCCCTACTAACTATGCTTAAGTAGCTCACGAGTGACCATGTCAAAACTATCAATATTATTACAGCATAGAAACACAGAAATTGCAACCTATAAAAATAGTTTCTCTTTTCATATATGCACAAAAGCCAATTAAATTGTGGAAATGTACAATAAATGTACCAAAAATATAGACTCCTAAAAAACAACAACGGTTTAGCATGTCTCTCAGGCTAACTCAACAATTTTATTTGTACAGCAGACATTTTACCAAACCATTACCTTCATGTTAAGATTTAACTAGCACTGCGATGTAAAATAAGGATTGAAAGAAAGAAGTGTCCACCCTTTAGAATCTTTTAATTACCTTTGTATGGCTGTGGGAAGATCTAAAATCAGTAAGTACCGTCCACATATGATTACATGTCCATGGGTCAATGCTAAATTTGTCAGCTCCTTCCCCCACCCCTTTTGAGGGATCCTGTGCTTTCAGCATTTGAAACTCAGCAAATAAGGCTTTCCCCACAAGTAGATGTACAACAGCTTAATGTCAAGTGGAAATTCAGCTGTTATAGGCACTGGATATTTGTTGACAAGCCTAGTCTATGCATACAATGGCATAGTGAGAAACGTTGAATAATTGCAATGTATTGCCACTGAAGTAAACAATAAATAGAGGCAACCTAGAATGGACCCAGCAGGGACATGATTGCTGCTTTGTACATTGGAATAACCCATCTCTCACTCCTCTATTACACTAGATGCTGAGTTGCCAGTCAACTAAAGCACAGTTTGCTCTGGTACGTAAGGTTGTGTCTGAGTATCATCCTTTTCTCTAGCATGTCTCATGTTATTGCCATTGTCATTCCTACCAGTTTGGAATTTAAGCAAGTTCATGGAGATGTTTAAATTCACCTAGTGGTTCTTGCACTGCAAAAACTTACAATATTAGGGAAGTGCTTTAATGATGAATATTCTTGACTGGCGAATATTCTTGGGGGGGAGGGATGACCAGACCAGTTGCAGAAGTGGTTCTTTCTCTTTGTTGCTTTTAACCACATGTTAAATTGGTTTTACAAAGTTTATATATAACAGTGTTGGATTGGTTTTAAACAACAGCTTTAAACATGCTTTTCTTCCTGATAATGCAGATCTCATAATGCATTCTAGGAGTCTGGCTTTTGCATCAAGATGGCAATACTACAGTCCTTTAATTAAGTGCCTGAATGGAAAATCAAAATGCTCTGTAACTGAGTAAATGTTCTGCCTTTCTTGAGTGAGTGATATCAACAATGATAGTACTATGAGGGGAATGAGAGAGGTTTTGGGGGTTTTTTAAGTGATTGTTATTTTTTCCTCCCGAAAGGATGCAAGAACTGTAAAGTGCTTCAGCATAGCAACAGAAAGTAGTAAGTTCTTAGAGGACTTATGTCAAGACCAGGAGATACATCTGAGCATTGGCTATTTGTGGTTAAGTTTGGTGGGGTGCATCAGGTCCAACATCATATGGAGCAGGATTATATTCATAGAATGTTTCCAGCTAGAATACCAAGAGGGGGGAAAATACTTGATTAGTGGCATGACACTGGCTGTCTTCCTATTCATCACATTTCTATCGCACTCTTCTTCCATGAAGCTTCATTTCATCCATTGGGGTGATTCTATTTTATCTTCACAAGCCAGTTAGGCAAGCAGGGAAGGCTTGTCCACACTGCTGTTTACTGTGGGTTTGCAGCTTTTTCCAATCCCATTGAATTTGTGTAGTCCACAAACTGTTACCCTCAAACAACACCAGTCTTGATGCTTTCCCCCTGTAACTTCAAGCTCACTCAATACCGAGATAATCAGATAAACTGAGGATAATGAGTCTCCAAACTACTCTACTCAGGATCACAGAGTGGGTAGATCAATCATCTTCTTTCTCCTGTCTACATGCGCTATTCCCTTAATGTTTTCATTTCTCTTCCGACTGTGCTTGTACTATTTCTAGTGTGCTCCGAACAGAGAGAAGCATAGCCTTATTTTCCCCTCTTTTGATCCCTCAAGTTTTGCACAAATCCAGAAAGCTGTGCAAACAAACCACATTACAAATATCTACACCAGACACTGCACAGCAATCAGAAAAAATGTGTGCTAAGAATTTACAGTTGTCTGACCCTGTGCTTTTTGCACACTTCCTGGGTGGTTGTTTTATAAGGTGTTCATTCAGCTATTGACACATGTGCCCTGTCACGACTTAAGAAGAAAAAGAAGAGTTTGGATTTGATATCCTGCCTTTCACTCCCCTTCAGGAGTCTCAAAGCGGCTAACATTCTCCTTTCCCTTCCTCCCCCACAACAAACACTCTGTGAGGTGAGTGGGGCTGAGAGACTTCAGAGAAGTGTGACTGGCCCAAGGTCACCCAGCAGCTGCATGTGGAGGAGCGGAGAGGCGAACCCGGTTCCCCAGATTACGTGACTACCGCTCTTAACCACTACACCACACTGGCTAAGCAGCATAATCAACTCAACAAATCAGAAGGCAGGGACAAACACTAAAGGAAATGCCTGCTGGTATGTACATGGAAAAAACTAGTTGCTTCTTATATACAAATTCAAAGACATGCAGGTGTGGTCTAATATGGGTGGGAGGAAAGTGGATGAACAGCAGTTATTAATGCTCAAATGTTGGCAAACAAGCCCAAGGTGAGGTGGCTAAAGCTGCCCAATGAGCTTTAGTACTGAGTAGGAGTTTAACTTCCCATCTTCCTAGCCTTGCTTCCTAGTGGTTTGTTCACCATATTGTACTGATTTATTGTGGATACAGGATGTATAAAGGACAAATTTTGTAGGAAAAGCTAGTTTTTACATGTAGATGGCCACACACACACTGCAGAAAAGAGCAGAAAAACCCTACTTAGTCTCCAGTCCATATATTTGCACTAGGGAAAACTCGTTTTAAAAGATTTCCCAGGGACCACACAAGCTAGCCCTTTGAACAATAGTTCAGTGAAAGGTAGAACTTACATTTGGAAATGTGAAATGTTCAGTCATAGAACACTTGGTAGTTAAAATTGTCAGACTTGATTTTGAAATTGTATGCCCCAGCCTTGCGTTGGTGTTGGAAAATTAAAAGACCTGTTATTGCCAGTATAAAAGCAAATACACCAATGACAATGAGGACTATGTAACCTGCTCCTAAGCCACGCTTTTCTTCAGCTGAAATAAAGAAAATAAAAATATTAGATGTGATGATATATTGGCTTGCATACACACAAAGCATTTAAAGTATATCCTTTTCCAAAACAGAAGCCTGGGAACTGTAGATTACCCAATACAGAGCTACAATTCCCATCACCCTTAAACTACATTTCCCAGAATTCCCTGGGTGACTGGGTGCCTTAAATGTGCTTATAAAACATAAAGGCAAACAAGGTAAAACGTTACCAGATTTCAAAAGTGCAATCCTATTCATGTTTTCTTGGAAGTAACTCCTGTTGTATTCAGTAGGGCTTGCCTTCAAGATAAGGCTCATCCACAATTCTGTTTACCCCACCACTTTCTCCCAGGAAAATCCACTCTTTACTGCTGAATTGGAGCAAACATCAACTGGGTTTTCCACAGACTGAAATTTGCTACAATTCAGCAGTGGAAAGCGTGTTTTCCCAGATTAAGTGGCAGGGCAAATGGAAAACTATTCAGACCCATGTCTAGAAAGCATGGCACAAGAAAAAACAACCCCAATTGGACCTGTACTTTCTAGGCACAGGCAAGTGGAAGAGGGGATGATTCCTATGTCTGTATAGGATTGCAGCCTTAATGTCTGCATAGATAATCCCATCTTCTCACTATCACAAATCAACAAACTGCTGCTCCTGCTCAGGGAGGAAAGGGATGGTGCCAGACAGAGAGAGATGACAGGATCTTGTGAGCTAAGCAGATCAGCAGTGGCCATGCTGCCCTCCTTCCTCCACATAAAGCCGGTGGAGAACTTTCAGACAACCACCAATGAAACTTATTTTTATTAACGTGTGGGGACTGGATAAATGCAATAGTCATGAGATTAGAATAGTGCCAGTACAGCATTAACAAACAATAATTAGTCCGCCATGTTATCATCTTGAAGCACTTCAGTGCTTGCTGTGTGGCCCTATAAGGAGAGAGAAAGGAGGTAGAGTATATAAAGTGTGACACAAAGATTTGAAAATTAAAAACCGGCTGAAGGAATGGAGGGAAGTCACGAGCTCAGTAGAGTAAAGAATTTATTTGTTTTGTTATTGGTATGTTGAAATATTGTGTTAAAAAAGAAATCAATAAAAAATATATTTAAAGAAAATAAAGAAGGAGGGAGAAAGGAGAGTCAGAGGCAGTTTTAGGGTAGCATGACCAGAATGGAGTGCGAGAGGTGGGGGGGGCACATTTTAGTGTCACACAGGGTGCCGCTGAAATTTGAGAGCCTACAATCTGCCACTGAGTGAGTGAGAGAGCCCAGCATGGCTGGGGGGTGCTCTGAGGTAAGCCAGGTGTCTGGCTGCATCCCAGCCCAGGCCTGATCCTGGAGCCAAGCGGCTGCTCTGGTTGGTTTGGGCAGGGGGTATGTGGTTCCACAGCACAGTTCTGTTGCTTAGTTACAGCAGCCCCAACCCATTTATGACCATTCTTATCATTTTCACTCCTAGCTGTCTCTCAGTATTAATCTTTGCCAGCCTGGGGACTGATTGCTTACCACCAGATTTGCGCAGAGGCCCCCAAGATGCATTGGGCATTGCTATAGTTTCCCCAGTCCTCATCAAACGGAAACCATTGCAGTTCTGGAAGAATAAAAATGAAGAAACATTAATTGGTAGCCTTCTCTTTTTCCAGTGCGAAATGTTTAGGTGCCTACCATTTTGCAGACCGTCTTAACAGATTTTGCAAGCTCACTGGTGGAGGAAGAGGAGTGCGGGGGGAGCGCACCGCCCCTGGCAGCACGATCCTGGCAGGTGTCATCGCGGCTGCCCCCCCCCCGCCCACCCGCACTGGGCGCCCTGCCCCCGCCTGCTCTCCACCCCCTGGTGCCGGAGCATGAAGCTCCACCACTGTGCAAGCTACTAGTTTGAGAACTATTTGTACCCCACCTAGACATTTAATGATATGGCAGTAGAGAAATACTTATATAAGTAAAATTAAAAACAGAACCACTTGCATAGGAGAATATATGTATCACATATTCTCTAAACTCAGGGGAATTTTTCCTTTTACAGTTCAGAAATACTTGCAGATATAAGAATCCTCCATTAAGATCACTGCCAATACTAATTTCATTAACACCATATTAATTTACTTAATACCTAAGGCTACAATAGGAACTAGTTTTCCATTGTACACTTTATATTTCTACTAAGAGATTTTTTACAACTCCTTTTCCTGGACCTTCAAAGCTACTGCTAAGTATTGACTTCAATCCATAGCACTCAAAGTAGTCATTTACTAATAGATTTCAAAAGGTCATCTAAGAAGGGTCAGCAACTAGGGATGGGAGAAATTTGGTTTCTCTCATTTTCTAACTTTTCCTATCTGAAGCTCACTTCTCCATATAAATTTCCAATTTTAATTTTTTTAGAAGAGTCGTCATAAAAATTTATCAGCAAACTTATCCAACTATACACATTTTGCCTAGCATAATGCCTTTTTATATAATCTTCACTAATAAATGCATTTCTGTGTACACTGCTTGACTGAAGAACTGCACTGCAAAATTCAGAGATGTGCACATTTTGAATGGTGGCTGTGTTTCACATTTTGAGGGTATACTGGGGGCTGCGGGGGGGGGGGAGAGAGAAGTCCAATGGGACAAGCAGGCATCTGCTCACACAACATTGGAGTCTGCCTTATATGTTCTTGGGTATTTTTACTGTTGTAGTTGGGGAATACAGGGGAAGTATATACCCCCTTCATCTTGTTTTCCAACAAGGTTTTCAAGTAGGAAATAAGAAAAGCTGCCTTACCGTCTTGCAACTACTCCTCGGAATTTCCAGACAAACATGGATTTTGCAATGTAGGTAAACCACTGAGTCATTGACAAAGGAAAATATTTTCAGTTTAAATTGGGCTTTGTTGGATATCCCATTCGAAATCATAGTGGTGTGTGCATTTGGAACTGGACAACTGAAAAGAGAACAGAATATAATTCAACACTGTCCATGCTAACTTGTATTTCTATTTTTGAGCTTCCTTCAAAAATTGATGGTAGCCGTCCAGAGAGAGAAAGTGAAGCAGACACACTTCTCTTGGCAGCTATGGAATAGCTTATAACAACAACTGCAGTAGCAATACCTAGCAATTTTCATTTTGTTTCCTAAGAGTATTCATTACTTTATAATAATTTAAACAAGGCATATATGGGTGTACATTATCTTGTACTTGATCAAAAATAAGCTCAACTTTTCAATACTGCCTTTTTGCTTAGCCCCCTCCCCCCCAACATAATTAATTTAATCCAGGAAGAAATACCACGTTCCTTTATAAAATCAATCCATGCTCAAGGGTAAGTTTTGTTTTTCTGTTCTTGTGAAAGCCCACTGTAGCTGCAGTCAACTTGGGTGTTCAGCATTTATATATACTGCTTGGGAGGATTCAAGTCACTTCATATTCATTAACTTAGTAATCTTTACAACGACCATTCACAGTGGTTCAATAAAATCATCCCAACATTACAGACAGAGAAACATTAGAGACTGAGAAATAATGGCTTGTGTGAACCCCAAGTAATAAGATGAAATCTAAAGAATAATTAAAGTAAATATTAAGTAATCACAGACTTGCCAACTCGAAATGATGCTCTTAAATGCTGTATTTTAATTTTTCAGATAGCACTACCTGGTACATGGTTTTTGTGTGACACCCTGAATATATTGCGTGTACCATACCTGCCATCTATAAAAGGGAATGACTGAGGGTCCTTTGAGTTATTAGTTGGAGTTGCCCAACATTCGCTGACGACCACCTTGAGGTTGCTATCATGTCTCTGTATTCCCACTTCAATCATTAGGTCATCACTAGCAGAGATGGTGAAATTTTTGGGAATTGGAGCATTTTCAATGAATAGCTGCATTTCTGTTAAGAAGTGTCCTGATCCATGTAAATCCTCAAAAATGGTATAAACCCTGCAAGATAATCAGTTGTTAAAATTCATGGAGTGTTTTTTATTAGCTCTGTTCCTCTGTCCTATATGCGCATAATACCAGTATTCTTTCTAGATTCTGTGTACAACACTCTGTGTACACACACACACATAAAACAGAGTCAGACACAACAAATATACAACAAAAACCACAGAGCTAGACAGTGCTATATTCTATCCTAAAAAGCAGGTGCAACTACAGCTAGGACCAGAAATGGGGAGAATTGGTGGTAAGTGACTCCCCTAACAACAACTAACACTCAGCAGAACAGACACACACTACAACATTAACTAATTTTAAAATTACAATGTGCAGAACTGGGATTTATTGAAGAAAGTCTTCAGAGAAGCATTGGTATGGGCTGGCATTAGGAAGGGATTAGATCCCTTAAACTGGAAACTAAGCATAAACAAAATCTATATCACTCCACCCAAAATGTTTCCAGTGTTCTTTCTCCTAAAAGAGTGTACTATGAAGAGGAATGGAAAACCATGACACAGTTCTGACAATTACCTCCATTTGGCCCTCCCAAAACCACTGTGATTGGAGAGAGCCCTGGTAAAATTATTCTCTGTTTGTAAGATACAGCTGCCTGTCACAAAACCCCATCCTCTCCCTCTTCTCTTTTATGGAGGTTGTAGAGAGTGTATCCATTTTTAGTAGGCTGTTATCTGAGTGTTAGTGTCCCTCTGAGTCTCTTGGAGGGGGTTGGATCTTCACTACAATTCCTTAGTGCAGTGGTTTTCAACCAGTGTGCTGTGGCACCCTGAGGTGCCTTGAAGGATGGTCAGGGGTGCCATGGGCAACACTGGCCTCTGTCCCTCTTTCCTTCCCTCTCTCCTTTAATGCCCTCTCGTGTATCTGGCTTGCATAGCTGTTTGATGCAGCAGCCCTGGCTACAAGCTCCACAGGCAAATGGTGCCTCTGGGGCTGGTCAGTGGGTGCTTCCCAGGTCCCTGTGGGGCAGTGTGACAAGGCACCGCTCTTTGGGGTGGAAGGGGGGCAGCTCAGAAACCAGGGCAGCGGCTGCAACTGCCCAGAGGACTCCCAAGGAGAGGAGAGAGGAGGCTGAGGGAACACTCCCCAAGGGAGAGTGTTCGAAAAAGGGTGAGGGGCTGCCAGCTCTGCAGGCAAGGGGTGACAGAACTGGGCTCCTGAGCCCCACAGGGGTGCCACAGAAAGAATGTAGTTGGTTAAGGAAGCCGTGGACTCAAAAAAGGTTGAAAACCTCTGCCTTAGTGTATAATAAAATGAAGGTACACTGAACCATTTGGATTGGGGTATTAACATTCCCACTTACCCTTCTGGAGTATATCCAGATGAAGTCAAGAGATCATTTTGAAACACACAAAGGATTGGACTGACAACCTTCAGGTGGCGGATGACCCTTGAAGAAAGCAGATCATTCCGAAGAACTGATTTTACTATGGTGTGTGTTGTGTTCTGGAAAAAAACACACCAAATGCAACAGAAGAAGAAAATCAGGGTTTGTTTGTTACATTTTAAGGATAACTTAAGAGGACACACTGGCTTCAGCAAATAAAACAGAACAATCGGGCATGGAACCTTTTCCATATGAGGAAGGATTAAAACAATTAAGTTTAGTCATCTTAGAAAAGCACTAGTGAAAATATGATATAAGAGTGAAAATATGGGCATTTGGTTGAAGGGTAGTATATAAATATTTATAAAATAATTAATACAATGAAATCAGGAGTGGATGGGGGGATTCTAGAACTGGCACATGTCCACTAATTCACACAACCCTCAGTTTATGATGGCTACCAGGAAATGTCACACCATCATGTCTCCGTAGCCAACCAACTGCATGTAGCCACCATTATGCACAGGGATAGGCTTTAGACATATTAATGCATGTGACAAAAAGAAAATGTAGTTCTTCCTGTATCAGGCCACAGAACAGACATGTTGATTATTTTTTATAAATACACCTGCATCTTTATTTATTTATTTATACCCCGCCCATCTGGCTCGGCTTCCCCAGCCACTCTGGGCAGCTTCCAACAAAATATTAAAATACAGTGTAGGCAGAACTATTGCCAATAGCTTTAAAACTTCAGTCTCCCAAATCTCTATAAAGGGCCATAAAGCAACTGCAGCTATATTCTGCAGATTGAATAGAGGAAGATGTTTCTTCTATACATCCTGACTAAAAACAATTAGCAGGTTAGGCCTCAGTGATGGAATCCACAGTGCTGTTTCTGCACAAGAGCAGGGAAAAGAAATGGAAGGTAAGAATATATTATTATTATTATTATTATTATTATTATTATTATTATTATTATTTATAGCAATGGTTTATATCCAAACTGCTCACCAAACCAAAAGCCTATATCTCATTCACTATCCTATTTTCATATGTAAGCAGTTTCCTTTAGGGATTGTGGGTAATAATTTTCCAACCTTCTCCGTTCTTAAGCAAGTTCCCCAGTAGTTTTGGAGGGTGCAAGTCTGAACTCTCTAGTTTCAGTGACCTTTGATGCTTACTTTGTTATCTCAATGAACTCATTATTAATATACTGTATGCCAGTAAATATCACTCAACGTTCTCTTCCGAGACTGAAGTGACTTACGGTTTGTACTTCAGTTCCACATTCGTTCCACCCAGTCCGAAGTATGACATGACTGGAATTGCTGGAGCTTACATTGCAGTGGGGCCTTCCCAGGTACAGAGAAGATTCTGGGATAGATTCACGCTTCAAAAAGTCCTTCTGAATGGTGATGACAATTTTTTCAATCTCGCAAAGCACTCTGACTGCTTTCTTAATTAAAATCCCCTGGGAAGGCTTACTGGGTGGTAAGGATGAGACTTGAACATTCAGTGTTGTTTCTGTAGATGCATTGCTAAATATAGTGCTGGTGGTTGCATTTTCCAAACTTCTGGTTTTGGGGACAGAAGAATCCTCTCCAGCAGGTGATGGCACATGGTTTGAAGTATACGGATCTGTCAAAGGTAAAACTGTGCTGCTCAAGTCTTTTGTCTGGGTACCTCCTGCATCAGGGCTGGGGAAAAGTGCTATAGAGTGGAAGGGAAAGGTATGGCAACTTGCATTATTCAATTAATTTTCTTACAGGGAGTCAACCAGAACACATTATTAAAATGGGTTTAAAGTGGGAATGTTGTTCCATTTAAATTTTCTCATCAAAAGGAGTGGTTTCAGGAAGGCTGAAATATTCCCTTTTAAAAAGCTTAAATTGTACCAATAGGGCTTGTTGAATTTTTCAATTTTCAGTTCCAAAAATGAAAGGTGCTAAAAGGTTGTAACATGACTTGGGAATAAAAAGATCTTTTGGTTAAATTAATATAATTTAATTTTGCTTGGTAAATAAAATGCGTGTAAAATTGCATAGAAGTCATTTAAATGATTGCCATTTAGTGAGCTGATGTCACAATGCTATGTAGGCCATTGGAGTTGACTATGTTCTGATGCCACTGAGGACAAAATTTATTCAGCAAGTGAAATGCTTCCTGAATAGGTGAACATTTTCAAGCCTTTCCCAAACAAACACCAAAAGGGGTGGAGGGGTGGGGAGAGCTTGTCAGTTCTGCTGAAAATGTTCACAGAAATGAGCCCCCTTTCTGCATTACAAAACACTGGACTCCAGTGAGCAATATAATGTAATATATATAATTGATCCAGCAGCACCTTATTTCAGGCTTATTTTGTGTGAACATCTGCTACAGTATGTTTATAGACTGTATTGTAATCCCACCTATGGTGAATTTGCTAAATATGCTCTGATCTTATATTCATAAGGTGAAATGAAAGTAAATATTGAAACATTGCCTTCACAGTTTCTCCCGGGTCTCTCAGCATTCACGTTGACAAATCCTTCTTTGCAGCTGCATTCATAAGATCCATAAGTATTAGAGCAAGATGCATCAGAAGAACAATCTGCTTCTTCCCTCTCACACTCATCATAATCTGTTTTTTAAATAATAATAATAATAATAATAATAATAATAATGAGAGTGACAATTCATGAGTGATTATTATTTAGCTGCGCTTGCAGTTATAGTACTGGCAGTGTTATAAGCCAGCATTCTCACAGGCTATCAAGAAGTTTCCCCCCCCCACCTTTAAGTACCAGCCCCAGCTGGAAGGGCTTTGATTCACCATGAACACCATGGACATCAGCTTTCTCCAAAAGATGCCAGCCCTGGGTCCTTATGACACCAGTTCCATACTCCTGAGGAGGGGTTAGCCCCCACCCCCAATATGATGCCAAGGGTGGACAATGCATGTAGGTTTTCTAGAGGAGATGTCATTTCGACTGAGGTGAGGTGCTATTTCATAGCAATCATTCCAAGGCTGCAATCCTTTAAGATTTACTAATTAATAAACCTGCATAGGATTATGCCGCATGAAATGTGTGTGTGTGTGCGTGTTTTAGATGCCATTTTGGAGATGCTGCTTTTCTACTGTTACTAAAGGAGGTGATTAGACTGGGAAGCAAGGACATGGTTTCAAACCCTCCCTTGGCCACAATGCCCACTGGGTGACTCTTTATAGACAGTCACACTCTCTCAGCTTCACCTACTTCACAGGGTTGTTTGGGGATAATATGGAGGTGGCTGCACCATGTACCTTGAGCTCCTTGAAGGAACAGTGGCATATAAATTAAGTAAAATAAACAAATAAAATGCAATGTCAAGAATGGTTCTACATTTGTGACCGAACATAAGCTGTTTTACCTCGGAAATGATGAATCATACATTTTATTTCATGAGATAAATAGCCAGTACAAACACTAAAGGTCCCATAACAGCTTTTCATTTGTCACTTTCATTCATGACCTACTTTTAGAATTGAAGTCTGAAGTCCAGCACTTACCATTTTTCAGGGTTTGAGAAATTACAACAATAAACTATTGCTTACCATGTATGGAGAGACTGCTGTTATCAATCATGAAATGGCGGCTGTGGAGAAAGGCCTCAAGGAAAGAACTGGAAACGTTGTTTGCATCCATGTCTGCTGGAATCAGGAGGTTGAAGCTCACCACTACACTTCCATTAGTCACACTCGTTATCAACATTTTAATCAAGCCAGCATCCATTTTCGGAAGAATATTAAGGGGCAGAGACGTACGGACCTATTGTCAAAACAGAATGAATGTAGTGGATAAAAATGTGCAGTGAGAATGACTTGGATTTTGTGTGCAGGAAGTTTTACAGACAACTCAACACATCAGGCACTGGGAACTGCTTCATGTTTGAACCCAAGATTAGAGAATATTCAGAAGATGGGGTGGCCCTGCATCAGGGAACTGGACCAATAATGCACAATTCTTTCTTACTACCCTTTGAACTGATTGGACCAGCATAGTTTTACCCTTTTTATTATAAATGAGAAACCTGCATTATAGACAGGTATGACAAGAAGGCTGTTTCCCATAAGTAGGTACCAAGCTTTTCTCTTTTTTTGCAAACTGTTATTTTAGGGTTGTCTTGTTTTAGTTGTGATCTTATCATTTTATGTTTGTAAGCTGCCTAGAGAACAATGTTATTGTGCAGTGTTGTATAAATAAAGTTAACAACCACCACTACAAGACAACTTGATTTTTCATCATTTGATAACTCTCAGTTGAATGTAGGAACTTTATGACAACAACTGGATCCTTCAGATGGAGAATGAATGACTCCCTATTTAGAGACGAACAATTTTGTAAAAAGGCCCTAAAGACATTAAAAGATTACTTTGAGATAAACTCGAGAACAGAAGTGGAAAAAAGAACAATCTGGGACGCGAGCAAAGCCGTGATGCGAGGCTTCCTGATACAACAGAATTCAATTAAAAGGAAAAAGCAAAATGAAAGGAAAGAAAGAATATTAGAAAAAATGAAGGAAGGAGAAAAGAAATTGAGGTCTAATCCAAAGTCTCAAGAAATTTTGAGAGAAATAAAGTATTACCAGATGCAATACATGGAACTGACAAATCAAGAGATAGAATGGAAAATTAAACAAATGAGACAAAGGACTTTCGAGTCAGCAGACAAATGTGGGAAGCTTCTTGCATGGCAATTGAAAAAGAGGCAAAAATTGAATACAGTCACCTGTTTGGAGATAGAGGGAAAGAATATTCACAAGCCAAATGAGATAAGTAATTGTTTTCAAAGCTTTTTTAGGAAATTATACACACAAGGGCCAGTGAAGGAACAAGAAATAGATGAATTCCTTAAAAATCATGGACTACCTAAAATTTCAGAACACAGCAAGTTGACTTTGAATGAGAAAATAACAGAACAAGAAATAGAGGAGGCCATTCAAAAAGCGCAATTGGGAAAGTCTCCAGGACCAGATGGTTTGACGGCTAGATATTACAAAGTTTTGAAAGAATGTTTAGTGCAACCATTGAAAGAAGTCTGCAATGAAATATTGGAGGGGGAAAAGGCACCTGAAATGTGGAAAGAGGCTTTTATTTCACTTATACCAAAAACTGAGACTGAAAAGAATCAGGTTAAGAACTACCGCCCGATATCATTACTAAATGTGGATTACAAAATATTTGCAGACATTTTAGCAAAAAGACTGAAGAAAGTATTGATAGGTGAGATCCATAAGGACCAAGCTGGCTTTCTCCCGGGAAGACATATGTCTGATAATGTGAGGAATATAATAGACATTGTGGAACTGCTGGAAATGAACATTAATAGAAAAGCGGTTTTGATTTTTGTGGACGCGGAGAAAGCCTTTGACAATATTTGTTGGAGTTTTATGAAAAAGAATCTCCAAGGGATGGGGGTAGGCCAAGGTTTTGAAAATGGTATAGGTGCAATATACTCTGAACAGAAGGCAAAGCTGATTGTGAATAATGTGGTAACGGAAGAGATAGCTATAGAGAAAGGAACACGACAGGGATGCCCTATTTCCCCTCTACTTTTCATACTGGTCCTGGAAGTTTTGTTAAATATGATTAGAAAGGATCAGTTGGTTAAAGGAATTCAGGTCGGAGCGAAAGAGTATAAACTGAGGGCATTCGCAGATGACCTAGTTCTGACTTTACAGCAGCCAAACACTAGTACAAAAAGAGTCCTAGAACTGATTGAGATATTTGGTCAGGTTGCAGGATTTAAACTGAATAAACAAAAAACTAAAGTGCTGGAGAAAAATCTAACAAATGAGGAAAAAGAGACATTCCAGAATGAAACAGGTTTGGAGATAGCAAAAAAGGTGAAGTACTTGGGGGTGAACTTGACAGCGAAAAATGTGAACTTATTTAAGGACAATTATGATAAATGTTGGACAGAAGTCAAGAAAGATTTAGACATATGGTCAAGGTTGAAACTTTCCTTGTTAGGCAGAATTGCTGTTATCAAAATGAATGTATTGCCTAGAATGTTATTCCTTGTTTCAGACATTACAAATAATAGACAAGATGGACTGTTTCAAGAGGTGGCAGAAAGACATATCGAAATTTGTTTGGCAGGGCAAAAAGCCAAGAATAAAATTTAAGACATTAACAGATGCAAAAGATAGAGGAGGTTTTGCCCTGCCGGACTTAAGACTTTACTATGAATCAGCAGCGTTTTGCTGGCTGAAAGACTGGCTGCTCCTCGAGAATACAGACATTTTGGATCTTGAAGGGTTTGATAACAGATTTGGTTGGCATGCATATATATGGTATGACAAGGTAAAAGTGCACAAAGGCTTTAAGAACCATATGGTGAGGAAAGCTCTGTATAATGTTTGGATAAGGTATAAAGATTTGCTTGAAAGCAGAACCCCTAGGTGGCTGTCACCAATGGAAGCAAATGAGGTGAAAAAATTGAATATGGGCTCTAATTGGCCTAAATATTTTGAAATGATAGAACAAGATGGTGAAAAAGTAAAATTGCAGAGTTTTGAGAATCTGAAGTTTAAGGTGAGAGATTGGCTACATTATCGACAGATAAATGAAGTATTTAAACAGGACAGAAAGAAAGGCTTCCAAGTGGAGAAGTCAAAACTAGAAACAGAACTGTTAGAACCCAATACTAAAAACTTGTCAAGAATGTATAACTTGCTGTTGAAATGGAATACTCAAGATGAAATGGTGAAATCTAGCATGATTAAATGGGCACAGGATATAGGGCATGACATTGAGCTTGCTGACTGGGAGCAGTTATGGACCACCGGTGTTAAATTTACGGCATGTAATGCCTTAAGAGAAAACATTATGAAAATGATCTACAGGTGGTACATGACTCCGGCTAAGTTAGCAAAGATCTATCATCTGCCCAATAACAAGTGTTGGAAGTGTAACGAAACGGAGGGAACCTTCTATCACCTTTGGTGGACCTGCCCGAGGATTAAGGCTTTCTGGGAAATGATCTATAATGAAATTAAAAAAGTTCTGAAGAGAACCTTTAATAAAAAGCCAGAAGCCTTTCTCCTGGGCATGGTGGGCCAAATGGTGCCAAAGAAGGAGAGGACATTTTTTATGTATGCTACAACAGCAGCAAGAATTCTTCTAGCAAAGTATTGGAAGACACAAGATCTACCCACGTTGGAAGAATGGCAGACGAAGGTGATCGATTATATGGGACTGGCAGAGATGACTGGCAGAATCCGAGACCGGGGGAGAGAGGCGGTGGATGAAGACTGGAACAAATTTAAAGTTTATCTTAAAAACTGTTGTAATTTGGAAAATTAGAAGACCAGGGTAATAAGAGATAAAGAACTACAGTTGTTTTATTATTTTATGGAAGATAAATTTATGAAATAGAAATAAGTTTAACACGAAAGGGTTGCTGGAAAATCTTGAAATATGAATGCAGAAAAGGGGTGGTATGGGGAAGTCGTTTTTGTGTTTACCTATGTTTCTACTTTGTTCTCTCTTTTACTTATGGAAAATTAATAAAAATTTATTTAAAAAAAAAAATGAATGTAGGAACTTTATGGGGGGAAACAGGGATGTGAGGTGGCAAAAACCATAGACCTAAGCTCATGCATTCAATGAATGCATCCTGCTGCACATGCATAATAATAATAATAATAATAATAATAATAATAATACATTTTATTTATATCCCGCCCTCCCCAGCCGAAGCCGGGCTCAGGGCGGCTAACAACAATAAAACAGTACAAAGGTACAGCATAAACAACATTCTAAAATCATTCATTATAAAAATTAGTTAATTCAAGCCACTGGCAGCCATTGGGCCAGAGCTCCGCGAAGATTGCCGAGGGAGTCAGGTTGTGCCCTGGCCAAAGGCCTGGTGGAACAGCTCTGTCTTGCAGGTCCTGCGGAAAGATGTCAAGTCCCTCAGGGCCCTAGTCTCTTGTGACAGAGTGTTCCACCAGATCGGAGCCACAGCCGAAAAAGCCCTGGCTCTAGTTGAGGCCAGCCTAACCTCTCTGTGGCCTGGGACCTTCAAGGTGTTTTTATTTGAAGACCGTAAGTTTCTCTGTGGGGCATACCAGGAGAGACGGTCCCGTAGGTACGAGGGTCCTAGGCCATATAGGGCTTTAAAGGTTAAAACCAGCACCTTAAACCTGATCCTGTACTCCACCGGGAGCCAGTGCAGCTGGTATAGCACCGGATGAATGTGATCCCGCAGCGAAGACCCCGTAAGGAGTCTCGCTGCGGCATTCTGCACCCGCTGGAGTTTCTGGGTCAGTCTCAAGGGCAGCCCCACGTAGAGAGAGTTACAATAATCCAGTCTGGAGGTGACCGTCGCGTGGATCACAGTGGCTAGGTCAGGGCGAGAGAGGTAAGGAGCCAACTGCTTAGCTTGGCGGAGATGGAAAAATGCCGGCTTTGTTATAGCTGCAATCTGCGCCTCCATGGAAAGGGAGGTGTCGAAGATTACACCCAAACTCTTAACGGACGGTGCTGGCACTAATTGCGCCCCTGCAAGAGATGGGAGTTGCCCTCGACTTTGGCTGAACATGTGGGAGCCAAGGGATACATGGAGGTTCAGGTTGGGTAATGGCAGTGTGGATGTGAAGGTGAGAACATGGCTCTGATCACTGCTTCATACTTGCGAGACAACACGATGCTGCAATCTTCAAGTGATGAACACACGTCAGGTTCTTGCCACACGACTACCAGATTAACACATTATAAAGCCCTAATTGAGGCCCACGATTCAAGATCACCTGAGAGACAATGGTTGTGTACCTCATTCCTCTCGCTGTGCTCTTCCGCCCCACCCAAATAAAAATCTGCTCGGGAGGGTCTTCCAACACTCTGGAGCAGGTTTTGAGGGGGGTGGGGCTTCAGGAGAAAGGAGAGGAGTGAGAAGCTCCACTGAAGGACAACAGGACAACCCATTAAATACATAATTATACCCATTTTCTTTCATACTGAGTTTTCCCACTTTATCATATTTACTTACCTCAGTGAAAAACAACTGTGTAAAATTTTGATACTCTTCACTACTTGTGTTGCTGAACCCTGAACTATAGTTGAGATTTGATATCCTGACGGTTCCACTAAGTATCTGGGCAGCTGTGAGATTGAAGGAAAAAATGTAAACATACACAGTTATAAGTGTGATATTCAGAATACAATTTCTAGGCCTCTAGGAAATTTCAGATAACTCTTTTTCTAAACTCAAATAGCAAAGCTGAGTAAAAAGAACTTTAAAAGAACTGGAGGAAAATAACAAATGTTACTTTTAGATACAGAGAGTTTTTCTTCACTATTGGGCTGTTCTGGATTTATGAATGAAGAAGCAGGTATTCATAAGACATGACTGGCTTCAAAATTTTCATTCCCTCTTAAGAGCAGGAAATGTGAAAGGTCACATTCACATCATTTAAAGTGCTCTTAAATCACTTTAACATTCATGGTTTCCCCCAAAGAATCCAAGAAACTTTAGTTTGTTGAAGGTGCTGAAAGTTTTTGGGAGATCCCTTCACATAGCTACAATTCCCAGGACCCTTAACAAACCACAGTTCTCATGATTCTTTGGGGAAAGCCATGACGGTTGAAGCGGTATAAGAATGCTTTAAATGTATGGCGTGGATGTGACCCAACTCATTGACAAGCTAAATGGCCAAATTTTTGTGAATAGTACTCCTCCTCCTCCTCCTCCTCTTCTTCTTCTCATATTTAGCATTCCTCTATAAGTATAAAGAGCTGACATTTCTCTTATAGACTTGTGGTTGTCAGATTATAAAAAAAATTAACTTCTAAGAATGTTTTGCCTGCCTTTACTTTATATTGTATACTTTACTCTATGCTTTATACATTTTGCTCTTCCACTGACTGTGCTGAGGGAGGTGCTGCCAGCATTTTATGCCTCATTGGCTGCCCAGGCAGGTGGCAGCCAATGCCCTTTCAGCCGGTGAGTCACCTCCCCCCCAAGAGCAGGTCTCTCATTGGCCAACCTAAAATGCAGGAGCTGCCGGAAACTCCAGCCAGCTACCCAGGAGGCCAGTGGAATTCCCCAACAGCCAGCTGGCCATGTGCATTCTGGCTGCCCAGGGTTGGCAACCGAGTGCAAGGATCCACAACAACCGCCCACCTGGAGGAAGGGGCAAGTGTCCATTACCTGTCTTAACTTTATGCTGTACTGGTATGCTTTTATTTCCACAAACTTCTGTCACAATTTCAACAGTGTACAAAATCCCAGGTTCTAGTCCGGAAATAGTCAGGTTGTGGCTCTGGGTTTTAAGCACTCGTATAAGCTCCTTTCCATTAAGCAACAGAAACTCGAAAGAAGTATTTAGTGGAACATTTGTGGTCCAAGTTACTTGAAAGCTGGTACTGGTTATATTGGAAAAAATAGTATTTGAAGCTGGAAAGCGCATTAAGAAGAAAAAGAGATAGCAATTAAATCTTTGAAGGAAGGAAAACAAAGAATTATCTTAGAAACATCTATTCCATTTGCCACATTTTAAATGAAAAGTTTAATGAAAATTTTACAGATTTTACACTAGAAAGAATCCCCTTCCCACAGCTGCCACATTTTGGAACAAATTTGATCTCCAAATAAACTATAGACTAGTGGCAATTAAAGGTGGCAGGAAAGTTGAAGTAACTTTAAACTATGTTCAAAAAACAACAGTGTTTGGATATTTGGCACCTAAGGCAAAATTAATATATCTGAATTCAGTAAGAGAAAGCTACATGAAACTTTTAATTTCAAAAAAGTAAGACTATGAGCTAGTTAACTTATATAGATATTAAACACATACTGTATTTTAGGTGCTTTTACAAATAATAAATGATAATAAAAGTGCACTTTCTTAGAATAATACTGGAATATACATGTTACCAGTCAAACTAGAATTTGACAAGGCTTCTTTTGCCCTTCTGTTATGTTTATAGGATACCTCTTTGAAAGAGGGGAAGTACCCTCTGTCAGTGAGGAATTGGCCTCAATGCTTGCCAGAAGAATCTTACTAGGGAGAGGTGGAAACTGGGTTTGGAGAAAGCATGCCTCCTCTGAAGCAAAGGTTCTACCAGGGACAGGAAAGCCAAATCACATTGTAGCCAACCCTTTGCAGGGCTCATATGACCAGTGGGGCCACCTACTGGCATGCAGCACAAAATTTAAACCGCCAGGATCGGATCAATTTGGGAGCTCTGATTGGGTAATCTGAAGTGCTCTCTGAACTGTTCCTTGGCAAGCACAGCTTGTATTCAGCACCATTTAAATTTGACTAAATGCAAGTTGCACTGCTTTTGACTGGTGCCAGATCCAGTTGGGAACTCCTAATCAGAGCTCCTAAATGGACCCATTACTAACAGTGCAGCTTGCATTCAGCAACAAATTTAGACAGTTCTTCTGTACTTTGGACATCTACTCTGCAAACAGGAGATGTAATTGAGTGAAACTAAGAGAAAGGTGTGTGCTTAAATCTCAAAGGAATTTAAGTGTTTGACTGGCCTGTAGCCATTCTCTTGCATTTTCTACACACACTAACCCTCAATGTCTTTTTCTACATACTAACAAGTTGATTTTAAGGAAAGTTTTAGTGTAAAGGCAGACTCACCGCCACAATCTGAGGCAGGGGCGGCAACTGTGTATCCCCCAGACAAAGATGGTAATGTTGTGGATGGATTTTTCTCAGACCAAGATCTGTTATCTTTCCCCATCTCTTTATCAAGGGTATGATTGAGAACATAAAATGTGGGGTGTTGGGTTACATTCATGGCTGAAGTTGCATTTTGCTGAGAACTTCTCTCAGTTATGAGGCCAGGTGTGCTTGTCTCTACTTCAGTGCCATTTCTCACAAAAGGATAAACTGTAATATTTGAAACGCCAGGAAACATGGACATTGAAGAGTTATGCCTTTCATGTGTTGTTGATCTCTCTTCAACTAAGTTTTCATTTGATGAAGTTACATTGTCCCACTTTTTTGTCACCAGAGCAGGAGTTTCTGAAGTACTCAGGGTATTATTATTCCTGACATACCCTGTGGTAGTTACATCTTCCCACTTTTTTGTTACTGGAGCAGGAGTTTCTGAAGTACTCAGGGTATTATTATTCCTGACATATCCTGTGGTAGTTACATTGTTCCACTTTTTTGTTACTGGAGCAGGAGTTTCTGAAGTACTCAGGGTGTTATTATTCTTGACATACTCAGTGGTAGTTATATTGTCCCACTTTTTTGTCACCAGAGCAGGGGTTGCTGAAGTACTCTGGCTGTAATTGTTCCTCACATACCCTGAAGTGGTCATTCTCTGAGATGCTGACAGGGTTTTGTCTGATGGAAGAGTGCTTGACTCTTGGGTCCCATTTGAGGGCAATATCATTGTCTCAGTGGACTTAGACGTGAATGAAGTCACTGCCTTTACTTCAGACATTGCCAGAGGAGTGGAACCTGTCCCAGGCAGTCCTTCTGTAGCATTTGCTTCAAATGCAGGCACCATTTCTGTAACGGGATCCACAATATCTCCTGGAATACAACATTTACGCATTTGACACAAACCGAAGTGTACAATATGAGTGGTATTTCCTTGGCAAACAACTATACATGAAACTACTGTACTATTATAAATCAAGTAATAATAAATATGAAACACTATGTCTTATGTCTTATTTCATGAGAAGGGCCTCCATTTTACTGGACTCACCTCTGACATTGCACTTGCCCATCTCCTGACGTCCTGACGGTACAGAGGAACAAAGGCAGCTGCTGACTAACACTGAGTCAGTGTTCCATATGGCTCAGTACTTGCTACACTGACTGGCAGTGGCTTCCCAGAGTCTAGACAAGGTTCTCCTCCAGGGATTGAACCTGAGACCATTGCTCGACCATTGAACTACAGCCCTTCCCCATTCACACGAGGCACGTCCTTGCATGGAGTAGCCTAAGCAAGTATGTGTGGCTCCTCCTGCAGGCCTTCCCTCCAGGTGTGAAGGTAGATCTGGGTGAGCAGTTGGAATGCTGGGGGTGGTTCCACCTGCATGGCCATGCCATGCCTTTAATTGGTCCAAACCCCTTCATGTAAACAAATGCACAAAGCGGGGCAAAGTAGAATCCTTTTCAATCCATGTGAAGAAGAAAAAAGCCTCCACAGAAAAATTAGTCTGAATCTTACCTTCACAGTTTCTCCCAGGTCGGGATGGATTGGCATCTGTGGTTGTCTTGCATCTGCACATATATGAGCCCAATGTATCGATACATTCCGCATAGGTGCAACAATCATTCTCTGCCCGGGATGCACATTCATTCCAGTCTGTAATTCAAAAACCAAAATTCAATAAGCGAAGCAACTTTGGTTAGGTTAACTGGGACTAGAATGAGAAATAATGCAGTAATTTCTCCAAGGCCTGGGAGATCTGCAGACCTAATACTAGTTTCCTCTGTAGTATAACTGAGAAGCTATGCAAGTTTGACATTAAATTAGATAGCCTACCTTCTACTCGAGAGCTATTCTGGTCAACAAGGAATGCAGAACTGTTGAACAGTGATGAAATCATTGGCTCAAATGCAGACAAGTCTTTTGGAAATAATGGGTCTTCTACTATGATTTTAAGTCTCACAACAATGCTACCAGCTTTAAGAGAGTCTATTTGCACTTTCAGCTTTCCCATCTGGTATAATGCAGACATATTTGAAGGAAGTGACTTTCTGATCTGAAAACAGATAAGAGAACTATTGCTAGTTTAATGTAAAACTATATACACTGAATTTTGTTTTCCACAACACTATCATGTCTGTATTCAGAATCTGTAGAAAAACCTATGTTCCATGGTGCGCCCACAAAACAGTGGTAATTTAGTAGGCTACCTGAAACGTCTATTAATTCAGATGGTTCTACACAGTTGTCATTCACTTGCTCCACAATGGTAAAAAAGATGTAGCAGTTTAGTTGGGATAGAATATAAATTAATGCCCTATACCTATAGTATCCAGTTAAAGTGTTCCAACTCATAATGTGCCTCTTTTCCTTTATTATTTGTCACTACTTTACAAGAATGATGTTGGTGGGGAAACAACTAACCCCTTGAGAAACCATGTTGGAATTTATGCATGTTATGAAAGAGGATTTGTTGCATTGGTGAAGGAATATGGTAGCATTATCAGCTTAACACTTAAAATGGAAGTTGTTCTTGGTGCAGTTATCATCCTATATCTTTTGCTAGGACCCTCTGCTATAAAATATTGTGAATAAAATATCCCGTTTTTTTGTTTTTTAAAAAAGGAGTATATATTTTTAATATTACCTCAGTCATCAAAATGCTAGAAAATGCCTGATATTCGATACTGCTAGTGTTGAGGAGCTGATCCGTGAAGTTATAATTCAATATCCTTATTGTTAAACCAAATACTAAGGCATCTAAAAGACAAAATATTAAGTGAGTAATATGGGTGGTGGGGTGTGATATTCATTTGAGAACAGACAGATCTATCAAAACACATTTCAAAACTATATGACTATATGACAAAACTATATGACAAAACATACTAATTATGTGACAGTAATTAATCTAGGTAATGATTAGCTATAAATCTGCACTGACTCATTCAAGTGGGCTGAGTAGAGATGATGAAATGCAGCTGAAGGTCTGACCTGAAATATGAACACAATATCTTGGACAGTCCGGATTTATACTAGGAAAACCAAATTCTAAAATGGTTGTTACCTGTCTTTACTCTTCTACTTGAGACAATCTTTTTGCCACAGTCTTCAGCACTGATGTTCACTGTGTACATTATGCCTGCTTCCAGATTGAACACATCTAGTTTCGTATCATTGGTTTCCATTTGTTGCACGAGTTCTTTGCCTTTGTATATTTCTATATTGAACGAATGGTTCCGTGTCGAATTTACACTCCAAGCCACTTCAAAACTGCTGCTAGTAACACTGAAGATCTTGTGGTTTCTAATAGCTGGAGCATCTGAAATAGCAATTAGGTGAGAGGTACCACAGTTGCATGTGTACTATGTAACCTTACTCAAAGAAGTAATCCCTGTTATAATCCATGAGCTTTATTCAAAGGTAAATATGCATACAATTGTAGCCCTTAAGTAATAATAGGAATACAAATTCACTGTGCATTTATATAAAATTGCCTCCTGACATTAAATGAAAATGCTGGATTGACCATTTATAATCCTAATCCTACTTTAATCATTTGTTAATTCATTCAGTTGCATTTGTGGCATGCACAATCTCAAAGACTCTGATTGGCTTACTGTAAGATAAACACACAAAATTAAAACTAAAATGTTACACACTACAGTAGTGGTTTTCAACCGGTGTGCCATGGCACCCTGGGGTGCCTTGAATGATGGTCATGGGTGCCGCGGGCAATACTGGCCTCTGTTCCTCTTTCCTTCCCTCTGATGTCCTCTCACATCTTTGCCTCCCAAGGGCTTGCACAGCTGTTTGTTGCAGCAGCCCTGGCTACAAGCTCCCCAGGCAAATGGTGCCAGGGGGTGCTGGTTGCCAGGAGCTGGTGACCTTGGAGTAAGCAAGTGAGGGAGCCCAGCCAGCCAGTCTATCAGCCCTTGCTGTTGGGAATGGACAGACAAGTCCCGGGTCCCTGTGGGGCAGTGTAAGGAGGCCCCTCTCTTTGGGGGAGGGGGGGGAGCAGCTCAGAGACCAGGGCAGCAGCTGCAACTGCCAAGAGGACTCCCAAGGAGAGGGGAGAGGAGGCTGAGGAAACACTCCACAAGGGAGGGTGTTCAGAAAAGGTTGAGGGGCTGCCAGCTCTGCAGGCAAGGGCTGACATAACTGGGCTCCTGAGCCCCACAGAGGTGCCGCAGAAAGAATGTAGTTGGTCAAGGGAGCCGTGGACCCGAAAAGGTTGAAAACCTCTGCACTACAGAATTAAACAAAAAGAAAATGTCTGCTACACACCTATTATTTTCTTTTTTCTTCCTTCATTGTTCACTTGTCTATAGTTCTTTAAGTGAGGAAAATACAGTTACCAGCAAAAATCTGAGCTATACCATTATCACTGCTATATATGAATTCTTACCTTTTTGCCTAGATATAGAACCTTATATGCATTTATTTGAGATTTGGAGATAAAAAATGCTTCATCGACTTCAATAGAAATGTTCGAACTCAGCTGAAGTCAGCAAAGTACATAGTCAATATAAAATGTATCCCAAGCCCCTAATGATCCAGGATTGCTTCCATGTACATGAAGGACTTGTGGGACTGTTTACTTTTGGCCCCAAGGGTTGAATGGTCAGAGGAATAGCTGACCCTCCAGATTGTTAGGGGCACAGTGATAAAAAGGGAAATAGGGGGCTCAGAATTAATGGTTTTGGTTTCTGACAAAAATATTCTAGGAGCTTGTTATCTGCCCAACTTATATGTATTTTTAAATAGACAGACACTGCAAACTACAAGAGGTGTCCAGGGCTCTTTCCTCCAAAGGAAAGAGATCTTATAAAGCTGATATTAATCTCTGGGCTACTCAGGGAATAAGAGAATGTGAAGAAATACATTACAACATCTGGAAAAGACATCACTATAATGAGATCGAGAAACTGCATGTCATTTTTATTTTATTTTTACAAAATTAATACAAGATTGACTTGTGTCAGCATTCCTGTGACATACAAAAGTAGTATAAAAAAACACACAAAAGTCATTAAACTGAACACCATTCTATTTCTCACATCCAAAGTATTTGGCTACCAATGACAGTCCTGCCATGCAGCAGGGTGAAATGATTTGCTTCAGGCGAATTGGTGTATATTTGGAGCAACAAGACTTTTCTAAAGTGTCAACCCTAGTGTGGGGGAGGCAAAATCTGTGAGCCACTTCAAGCACCAAAATGTCTTGGGCCAACATGGATTGTCACAAGATGAATACATCTACATTTCTTAAGAAGTTAAAGCAATATAAAATGTTGAAGATTTATACTGTATCATATTATTTTGAGGGGGACTTCTTTAATAAATGCATTCTGAATTCTGGAATTGAAACATTATTCAGCACTGTATTAAAAGGCAAATTCACAGGAGTTCTGTTACATAAATAGTAGTGGTATGCAGGACTGTGGAAACCACATGCCATGTCTTGACAGGAGTTAAATATTCAACAGCGTCATGTTTACTCATTCATGCAAATGTAAGTTTCTTGATTCAATTAGCTTAAAGAAGTGGCTAAATCTACAGCAGAATAAGCAATTATGCAAGCCATTAGAATTCTTCAGGCAAAAACCAACTATGTAGAAAAGACAAAATCTTCAGTACGTTGCTAGAGAACTCACATTTCTCAAAATGATATTTTGCTGCAAGAAACAAAGTTTTCAATACAGAAAACTTTATCAAGGAAGCTTTTGTGTACCAGTCTGAGGCCTCAAAATGACCAAGTATATTTACAGACCAAAAGTATTGCTGCATGCTACCTCGGTCTCTGAGCAGTAAGGGGTTCCAGGTGCTTATACTCAGGGTCTGGTTTCCTTGGAATAAGCCATAGCAGAGACTGTGGCGTCTTTATGATATATGGTTTATTTACACATGTATACAACTTCAGCCTATGATGGAGAGGATCACATAATTAACACCCCAAGAAGGTCTTGTTTCTCCCATAGGTGCAGCCTTGAATTCAAGTAGACATCAGCCATGTCTCTCTCTCTGTCTTTCCAGCATTTTTGCATCCAGTTTCTAGCTCACATAACTCCTAACTCTAACTTTCCATAGTTAGAGTTGGATTCCAGCAGAAGTCAAGCATGGCTCTGACCCCAGCTTCTGCCTGCAACCAGCCTCCGGGTGTTACACACTCTGGCTTTTGTCTTTCTCACCAGACAGGTGGGGGAGGGGGCCCATCCATTTGCCCCTGGACACTGAACAACTTCTTTTGTTATACTAACCATGGTCCTTCGGACCATTAACTCTCTCTCACACACAAACTTGCCTGACCTCCATTAGATTTGAACCATTGCTGGATCTAGGACCCCAGGGATTAGAAGAGACTCAGGAATCCTACAGACTACTGTCCCAAAGTCACAACAGCATTATCTAGTTTATGAATTGGTTTCATTTATGTAATTATGTATTAATGGTATCATTTTACGTAAACTGCCTGGCAAATTTCTACTGAACGGTGGTATGTACAATAAATGAATTGTTTGCTTTGCTGGAACTAAGGTGAATTCAGACAGCTAGTTTTCTACCCTAGGGTGACTTCTATTTACCTCACAGTGGAGATCTACACATATCCCAATGTCACAATTTTTTCCCTCATGTGGTCATTTTGTTCACTGATACTTTGTACATGCCTCAGAAGCAAGACCTTAAGCCCTGCACCTTCTAGGTCCCTGGTGTAATCATTCAGAGTACAGACTCAAGGACTTGCTATGGAAATAAGGGGGGCACTTATTGGAAATCAATTTTGTCACCTCTTCTCCCCGAGACAATGAGCCCAGCCACCTTTTATTCACAGTCGCATAAGCACTACACTACAGCATGGCCATAAACTTGTACATTCAACCGCTGAAATATACACCCAGTATATAGCGATGGAGATTTATGTTACTGCTTTATGAATGAACACTGTGTTTTATAAATGGACTCTGTATTTTGTGAATTACCTAAGAGCCACCAATAGGGAGCTCTAGAATCTGACACCTAACCAATTGGGTACTACCAAACACTGACCTCTCTTGCTGAAAGCAGGTAATCAGCAGGGAATGCTTTAGCTCAGCCTTTGTACTGTTGACTGAACACTCCCTGCTGTGCAGATAATGGAGAAAGCTCATAAATTGTATCCCTTCTGGCATCCTGGCCAACTCTATTACGCTGGTGTAAACCCTGGTGCACCAGAAGCCCAGAATAGCAGCAAATAAAATCTGCTCATACGTCAGCAACTGATAAGACTTGTCAGCCAGTTCTTCCAAAGCCTTCCTAAATTATAAAGCTCCAAACTATACAGGCCAAAAGAGAGCAGGTCTGGAAAGAGTGAAGCATAGAATGGGCACCAGCAGTGAAAAGGCCCTGTTCCATGTAGCTCCTGCCCTGTTATTTGATAGAGTGCCCACTTACCCTCCTTCTTCACATGGAATGCTCTCTATTGGAGTCTCCAGGTCCAGTACAAAGACCATAAGAAGGGAGAGCAGGGACCTTGAAGTTCCCAACAGCTTTTAATCAAGCAAGCAAGGACACAGGTCACCTTTGTCACAGTCAGGACGCTTATGTCCTGGCCAGGCCTGCACCCAATCTTGTTTTTGTACAATCTTGTTTGTCCTCAGTAACCAAAATTATATTATCAACATATACAAGCAGAAAAGTTGTTTTCCTTCATTTGCAAAGAATGGTACAAAACAAAGTGGCACTAATAAAGAAAAGTTCCAGGGTGGCAACAGATGGTGGTATCATAGCAGATACAGCTGTTGTTAGTAACTCAGAGAAGGTTTGGGAACCTTCAAGCCTCCAAGAGGTCCAAAGTTTAACCTCAGAGGATGTTGAGCCATGGTTAAATGCCATGAAGTCTGAACTGGATTCCTTAGAGAGGAACAAGACATGGCCTGCCCAGGCCACAAAAGGTTTACAAAGTTCAGTTATTGCAAAAGTTTTTCAGTGTTAACTTTATGCATTTTTTAAAATCACCATGGTATTTAACAATAATATGTCCTTTAGAGGAGAAATTGTGAATTGTATAATTTTAAATACCCATCATCATCCTTAGCTTCACTCAATTTTGTTTGTAACACTCTTCCATTTTGTTCTAGTTGTGAGGGTGGATTATGGGGAGGAGCCTCAAAAGTGGAGTAGCCTAGGACCTCTCTTCATCTAAATCCGGCCCTGTTCACAGCCTATTTCTGTATACAGTGGTACAGTGGTGCCTCGCAAGACGAAATCAATTCGTTCCGCAAGTTTTTTCTTCTTGCGGGTTTTTCGTCTTGCGAAGCACGGTTTCCCATAGGAATGCATTGAAAATCAATCAATGCGTTCCTATGGAGACTGTCCGGGGACAGAGGGGAAGCGCCGCGCGCCTTCCCCTCTGTCTCCGGACCTGTTTAAAGCAAGGGGCGGCGGGGAGAAGATTGCTTCTCCCCGTTGCCTGCCCCGCAATCTCCGGGGACAGAGGGGAAGGCGCGCACGCCTTCCCCTCTGTCCCCGGACCTGTTTTAAAGCAAGGGAAGGGGCAGCGGGGAGAATCGCTTCTCCCCGTTGCCGCCCCTTGGTTCTTTTGAAGGAAGGGGCGGAGGGCGCGCACACTTTCCCCTCTGTCCCCTCTTTTGAAGCAAGGGGCGGCGGGGAGAAGATCGCTTCTCCCCGTTGCCGCCCCTTGGTTCAAAAGGGGTCCGGGGACAGAGGGGAAGGCGCGCACGCCCTCCGCCCCTTGCTTCAAAAGAGGGGACAGAGGGGAAGGAGATTGTGGGGCTGGCAACGGGGAGAAGCGATCTTCTCCCCACCGCCCCTTGCTTCAAAAGAGGTCCGGGGACAGCAGGGAAGACGCGCTGCGCTTCCCCGCTATCCCCGGAGCTTGCGGGGCAAGCTTCGTTTTGCGAAGCAAGCCCATAGGGAAATGCATCTTGCGAAGCGGCTAAGAAAACGAAAAACTCCTTCGTCTAGCGAGTTTTTCGAGGCGTTCGTCTTGCGGGGCACCACTGTACCTCAGGTTACATACACTTCAGGTTACAGACTCCGCTAACCCAGAAATAGTGCTTCAGGTTAAGAACTTTGCTTCAGGATGAGAACAGAAATTGTGCTCCGGTGGCGCGGTGGCAGCAGGCCCCATTAGCTAAAGTGGTGCTTCAGGTTAAGAACAGTTTCAGGTTAAGTACGGACCTCCGGAACAAATTAAGTACTTAACCTGAGGTACCACTGTACTTACATTCTGCTGTTAAGTATGGGACTTTAAATTCTGTTCAGCCCACATGCGTGGGCACCTGGTGGGATAAATTGCAATAAATACAACCTCTCCTACCTATTAAAACACATTCTACAGTTTGCACATTCAGCTGTATTGAGCCGTCATGTGATGAGAAAACAAGTAATGCACATGCACATTCAATTAGTTTTCTTCACAGTGAAAAAGGAATTAAACGAGTCTGTGAAAAAAGAAATCTGTAATGGAATGGATGGCTGATTTCTTCATACAAGCCACCAGATGTCACTGTAGATATCAGAACTCAGGCAGACTTCAGGAGAGAAATAAAATATCCTTCTATGTTCATTTAGGACTTATTTTTTGTTTGTGTGGTGCTCTACTCCATACTGCCTCTGAGAAAAAATGAGCCAAAAGGTGGCCATGCACTATTTCCCTTAGACAAAGTGGATGCAAAATTTAATAGTTTTAAAAAGAAAATGTAACTTACAGCATTTTGAATCCTCTGGTCTGCTGAGTTCTTGTGATGCAGATGTTGAATTTGTAGCTGAAACAGAAGAATTTCTTATTTTAAATAGAACATTGAGTGAATCTGGACCAGAGTCTGTGGCATCTAAATTAATAATAAAGCAGACAGAATTACAAAGCAATTCCCAAAACTCCCCTCTTCAGAAGTGCTCGCTTTAACTATTCATTGAACAAATGGAACCCGCAACAAAAATTGTGGCGTTTTTCTTTTCATCCATGCCCTCTCCTGTGTGTTGTTGGTAGTTTTGGCTATGTAAGTGTGAGCAAGGGAAGGCTCAAATCGGTATCTGCATGCATCAGGAGTAGCCAATGTGGTGGTGTTAACTAAGGCACCCATCATCCCTGATCACTGTCTCTCCTCGCAATAATGTGTGCGTTTGCATTTGTCCATTTACACCTGCCTTTGTTTAACATTTACCTATTTTCAGTTTAACATTTGGCCTATAGATGGGAAGTTATAATGCTGTTCATTTTACTTCAAAGAATGTTCAGATGCAGTGGGCAGCTATGTAACATATGTATTTAGCTTGACTTGGTTTAATCTTGTCTTTATGTACCCTTCCATAAGCTCATGTACTCAGGACAGTCCCTGATTAAATGCCCCAATCTTTGAAAGCAAGGCTGATGAATACGAAGAGCAGGACCTTTTCAGTGGTAGCTCTGACTTGTTATATTTGTTTCTTAAGGCTGATGCAGACTTTAGATTTTTTATTTATTTAAAAAAACCATCCACAACCACCACCACTATATTGTGAGAAGTGGAAGCACAAAGAAGACTGTAACAGCAGTTTTCGTGTTTAGAAAACACAGTATCTTGCATTTTTAATAATAATGGAATCAGCCCCTGCATTCTTCTATATGCCTTCATTTCAGATGTTGTACAGCTTATACCCACAAGGCCTACAAGGCTGCTTTCCCCACCCCCTTATGTGCGATATTTTGGGTTGGGTTGGTGAAGTCATAGCTACAACCTCATGTGCTTGCCACACAATTTGATTTCAAAGTGCCTGGGCAAAGGAAGAGGGGTTTACAGAGGCAAACTGATCGGTGGTGCCTGCAAACCCCTGTTCCTTTGTCTACGTAGCTTAAATTCAAACCATTGTGAGCAAAGGAAAATGTGTCACCTGGCTTCCTAATTTCACGTGATTGATAGCTGGGAAAGTGTGGGCAGTTATATCAGGGTTAGCCAGCCTCAGCACCATCTTCTGTGGTTCTGGGTGAGGCTCTTCTTTCACAACAATTTTTTTTTAAAGCATTCCCCCATCCCACCTCAGGCTTTTGGTGCAATAAAATGGTCTGCTTGTTTAATGTTCTTTTTATTCTATGCCACTCATTTTAATTTTATAGCCTATGTGGCTTTTAATTGGTTTTAAATGGATTTTATTGTAAAACTTCTCAAGGACTTGCTATAGCCAGAAGGGAAAAATACAAATTGAAAAACAAAGCACATTTTATTTGACCAAAATTTCCTACTACTTTATACTTTGGTACATTGCTTAAAATGTGTATCCATTTGTATTCATTCTCAGAAGTATCCTTATGAGAACTCCTGGGTTAATACAAATTTCTTGTCTGTAGCAGACATTGAATTCTGCTTAAGAACATTTATTTCCTTTTGCTGAAATTAAATGTAAAAGAGAGGCTTTACAAACCTCTTGGTTTTGACACACACACACACAAAAACAAGCCCACAGATAAAATAACATGCTAGGCCAGATCCCAAAATAGCTATTTAAATGTGAGCTAACTTTGAGACTACTTAGCAGTTGATATAAATCCTTGAGCAGAATCTTGAAAGTATTTTGTGCAGCTGGAAGCCAAAACAAAAAGGGCTTCTGGAAAGTCTCACAGTGTGAAAGAGTGGTTTGTCAATGTCACCCACACATTGCAAATCATACATGGGATCCACACAATTTCCTCTTTGGCCTAAGGATCCCAGTTTCTCATGTTTACAAAGTACCTTACAGAGGTTCCTATTTCTCATTTGTAAGTTAAGTTCATAAAGCTTTACGTAACTCTTTCCTCAAAACTATGCAAATGACAGATATATTTAAAATGTTACAACCTTGGACAACTATGTCGATAACTTCATACACTCGCATCACAATGTCCTTCAACAAAGAAGAAACGTTTGCCAATGGAACCAGCTCTTGCAGTCCAATCAGAACCCGGGAAACCAATGTCTCTGTATAGGGTTCTGCCTGTGTTGTACGAATATGATACACTGAGACATCCAGGGGCCATAGTGCGCCAGTAATCTGTAAAAGGAAGAAACTCTTTTTATATATTACATAACTGTGTGAAACTTAAGTCATGCAATTAATCCTTTCGTGTTAAACACACATGGAGGAAATAGTACAATCAAAATTAGTCAAGAAATAAAGGCCACAAGCTTGACCCCCAAATCACCCTTGCATGGGCATCACAGTGCGTGCCTAGAGCCACTTTGCTCAATGAATGTGGCCAGTGGTAGCATGGCTGTCAAGTGCTCTGGCAGCAAGGGGTGGGCTAGCTGGCATGGTCCTGCAACTTTCTTATTCATGCTTTAAACATGTAAGGGGTTAATTTGAACCTGCTAATGAAACTCTGGGATCTTAGAAGCCAGATTTATAACTTAACACATAATAGTTATGCCTTTGGCACGCCAAGTTTTTGCTAATTACATTCTGCACACCAAGCATTTGCTGCTTAGCTGGTTGTGAAAATACTCACAAGCAAACCCTGCTTTTGGTCAAGATTCATGCAGAGTAAAAGTCTGGCTCTGTGCGTTGAGAGCAAAAGGTCAAAGGGAGAGAGAATATGGGTATATGCAAGCTTATATATTTAAGGGGAAGCCTTATGTGCCTCTTCAGGTGTATCTTGAGTAGAATGAAAAGGAACGAAAAGAAGATTGCATGCATGTACTTATAAGGAGCCTATGCCTTTTAATGTGAGGAGTGCATGTGTGTTAAGGAGGAAGTACAGAGGTCTTTTCTGATGATTTGTGCCTTCTCCAGTAGGTGGTAGTCATAGAACCTATTTAGGTTCTGTTGCACCATTACAACAGAATCAACAGAAGTGTATGTATTAGAATGAAGACTACTGTATTTATTCATACCATAGAGTGCAGAAGCCGTGAATGATTCAGAAGTTTTGGATCCACTCTTTTTAACTCATCAAAATCCATTTTCACCAGGACTGACACGTCATACCAGTATCTTGGCACTGTTTGCTCTGGAATTGAAGAGAGGAAACCATTTATATGGAGCGTTAACATTATATTAATGGAAAGGTTTTCAGTTATCACAGTGGACTTTTCATCTACAACAGCCATATTTAATCTGCTCTGCAAATCAGTGATACATCCTTCTGATTTCTTAGTCTCAACTATTAAATGATTATCAAAAGTATAGCTCCTGAGCAATCATGTACTGTACTGTATTTGTTTTAGATTCTATAAACCTGTTTTAATTCTTTTTATTGGCTTTTCAAAGTTCCACCTAAACACACATTCAGACTGGAATTCTATGCCCTGTGGAAATGTCCCATTGACTTGAATGGGACTTATTTCTAAGTAGATATGCATACAATTGTTCTATCAGCCTTTCAGCCTTTCAAGTGTTTGGATCAGTGACACTCTTCTAAAAGGTAAAAAGCTAGAAGGAAGGCTATCTGAGAAGCATAATCTTTTACTCACCTAGTTAAGGCAAATTTGTTTCCCTCTTAAATAAATTGGGAATTAGACTTTGTGTTTCTACAGACAATATGATCTGGCCTTTTCCTTCCACCACCATACAAAACTATCCCATGCATGAGCACTCAGAAGACCCAGGTAAGTGTTTACATAAAACTGCAACCTTCAGTAGATAAAGGGCTGTTTTTGCTGGAGGGAAAGGCCACAGAGACATGAATATTTCAGGTCCCTTCTAGAAATTTCCTTGTGAAAGTATAAGGGTTAACAAACTGCCTAACTGTTTCCTAAGAAGAAGGCCTGTTTTCCCTTTCCAGTGTTCTGACCAATGTATGCAAAGGCATTGGGATGACAGACAAGCACCAGCCTTGCATAAAATTACAATGCCTATTATTAATATCAAATACAATTGAATAATGTTAAGGATATTAGTCTACCTACATCTAGGCTCTGACTGCCCTGCATTGATGCACTGTGTGCACTCTAAGGCACGCCTCACCACAACATTTCTGATCACAGACCTGTCAGAAGGTGGCAAATGTTGGTCAGTACTGTACCTTCTGATACAGGATCAGAACAGCCAGTGCCTTTTGATGTCTCGCAGCATTTTTTATGTTCTGGACAATCCAAATCCAATGTGCATGAAATATTTAACGCTTCCGCTTCCTTTGTTGGACAGGCACCAGGTCTTGAGGCAAATTCACTGGAACTGTTTAGGGCTACAGAACAAGACATTTAACAACAAAATTTGCATCTACTGGCAAGGATTTAAAGTTCTACTTTAGGCACGTCCAAGAGCATGAGTATGGCTTAGCAGGATTTTTTTTATTCCACTCTTCCCACGTGTATACATGCACTGCTTACTCCACCATGCCATACCTCAAGATGCTATTGAATGTCTTTCTTTGGAGACTGGGGAGGAGGACTATTAATCAAGAAACTCACTGAGTACTTTGGATCTTAGCCAGCATTTGTTTTCATTAAAGCTATTCTATCTTCCTCATAACAACACTGGATACAGCTTGGACAGCTGCTCCTTTGGGAACAACATCATACATTTACAACACATTTAACACACATAGCTTTCTCCCAAAGAATCATAGGAAATGTAGTTTACCCCTTAGGGATGTACAATTCTTGGCACCCTTAACAAACTACACTTCCCATGAGTCTTTGGGGGAAGCAGTGGTGAACTTTGGGCCCACAAATTTCAGCGACACTAAAATTCGGCACCCCCACCTCCTCACACCATTCTAAAGCGTTGTTTTGGTGCCCCCTGCAGCGGGCTGCCCAGTGCAACCTCACCAGTCATGCCTAAAACCACCTCTGAGCAAAGTCATGTGTTTTAAATGTGTGGTATGGCTGAGAGGAAACAGCAGGTGTCTTAAATAAACATGCCTGTAGATCCAGCCTATGTAATCTGCAAATGATGGCACAAACATGTAACAAGTCACAGCCACAAAAGTACCCTGAAAAATCAGTGCAAGGAACCGGGTTGTGTACCAGTTCTGGCTCAGAGCCATAGAAAGCATTAATCTGAAATGTCAAGGTCTTCATTCTTACATCAGCCAAACACAAAGACAGACATCCAACATGTCCCTGTCAAAGTCTATCAAGCTATAATTGTTATACGAGCAACTCCCAGAGCGAGCCATCTGTCAAGCAACTGCTTAAAAGGTGGAAATCAGTTGACATGTTCCTTTGGTGAGTAGAAGCCTTCCTGATTTACTCACAAGGGTGGCAAAAATGTGTATGGTATACATGCATGAAAGCTCCATCATAACTAATATAAGGAGAATGGAATGACAAAGTGCTTGTAATATTTATTGTGCTTTATTATTTATTTTTAGAACTATTTTAAATCTGGAAACTGCCTTGAAAAACTTTAGACCATCAGGGTTAATGTTACTGTTTTTGATGAAGAAAAGCAGAGTGAATATTCATAAATATCTGATCAGATTTCCTATATAAACCACAGAGAGAGAGAGAGAGAGAGAGAGAGAGAGAGAGAGTCACCACTTGCTGGTCCATATTTTTTGAGGCTGATGTATTTGTTGCATGTTCACTGCTGGTCTCCTGAAAATCACCTATAATATTGTTATAGGTGAACCATATCAAGGAGAACCATGTTTATGCAGTGGATATGCATCAGAAATCCACAGCTTCCTTGTGAGCATTCACTCTCCCTATGTGTTAATTAATTTAGCAGGATTTGCAGCACTAGTATAGTATTTATGTACCAATAGCCCATGAGAATGAGACACTGTACACAGATAAAAGATAACACAGCCTTGCCTACAAGCTTACAGTTTAAGCAAAGCATATGTTCCCTATTCTGACATTAGAATGTGTGTGTGGAAGCGCAGAGCGGACAAACAGGAAACCTATCTGCTACATAAAGTGTGAATTGGTCCTTAGTCTGCCATCCAAGCAGAAGTAAATTATGGCTTCCAGTGGGATTGGAGAAAAAGTATCAAGGGAAAATTCTCACCGAAGAGCCCCACAGAACTCTGAGCTCCAATCACTTAGTCAAACTAGCTTTGCCTGGGTTCTAACATAAGAGAAAACATTAACCGTAGTTTAGTGACATGCTGTTAATTCATCTCACTAGTTGTCAACTTCCTCTTTTCATCATTTATTTAAGACCATGTCTAGACAGTGCATTACCATTCACAGAAGCTGTGACTAAGGCTCTGAGGTCTAGAAAGAACGGTCTGAAGGAGACAAATGAAACACGCGCTGCTGAGGCTTAATGGGACAGCCCTAATGAGTAAGAAATTCAGAATTTAGAAAGCTTCTTTAACCTAACGACAAGAAGAGCTTCTGCTCCACCAGGACCCTAGGGCAACTTCTGTCTAGGTGCCTGCCCACATTTAGAGTAGAAGCTCATGTCACTGAAGTTCTTAATTGTCTGATTTGGGGGGTTGGACTAGATGACCCTACAATTCTGTGACTCAGAATATAATTTTGTTAAGCTTGTAATGATGAGCTAGCTTATGACTCAGCCAGCATTTCTCTCAGATGCTCTTCTACAGCTAGAAAAGAATTTGCATACGTACAGTCAGCATTCAATGGACCACACAAGCCCAGCTGCTTTGTAGGCACCTTTGCAATAGTTATTGCTGCACATGACTGCAGCACTTTTGCTTACTATGAAATGACATTAACAATAATGACATATTCTTTGTAGGCAGATTCACAAAACGCATTTTATTTTTATTGCCAAGCCCCTAATTTCACTGGCCAACTGCTATAAACTATGTGACCAGACCACCTTACTAAGCTTCCATTCATTTGATAAACATTTTCTTTATTTGGATCAATTTGTTTCTACCAAAGAAGACAATGTTTTATTGTCCACAACATTCTTATGTTCCCAAGTGCAATTGTTTGAGGGGGAAACAGTTCAATTTTCAAGCAGCTGTCCACCATCACAAGTGCTGGAAACTTCCGTTCCCAGGGAGCAATATGACAATACACATATATGTTTTCAGAAACACAAGAGTGCCTGCACCAGTGTTACAAATGGAGATGAGACTCCTGCAAAATAAAGGAATTTTTCCAAGATCGCTTCTCTCCTTCCCCCTTCTTCTTTCCCCCCAGATCACTTTTCAAGAAAACTTGGAATCACTAAGGCCATTCTAAACTGAGCTTGGGAGTTTAAAGGTAAAGGTAAAGGGACCCCTGACCATTAGGTCCAGTCATGGATGACTCTGGGGTTGCGGCACTCATCTTGCTTTATTGGCCGAGGGAGCCGGTGTACAGCTTCTGGGTCATTTGGCCAGCATGACTAATCCGCTTCTGGCGAACCAGAGCAGCGCACGGAAACGCCGTTTACCTTCCCGCCAGAGCGGTACCTGTTTATCTACTTACATTTTGACGTGCTTTCGAATTGTTAGGTTGGCAGGAGCAGGGACCGAGCAAAGGGAGCTCACCCTGTTGCGGGGATTCGAACCGCCGACCGCTGATCGGCAAGTCCTAGGCTCTGTGGTTTAACTCACAGCGCATTACTATTTTAGAGGCAGGCCTCAGAATGGTTCTCTTAATTTATTTTGTCTTCATAGATGCTAAGGCAGGGATGTGCTAATCTTTCATGTAAAATATTCTACTTCTTTTTCCTTGATAGATTATTTTGATGGAAGGGCAGATTGAGATACAGCGCTTCCTTATTCAGGCTAATGGAAATTTTGTTCCTACAGAATATGTTCTGCTTTGTGTTGCTGCTTAGGTGTGCATTTTTGTTAAGTACCCCCCCCCAAAAAAGCCACCCCATTTAAAACTAAATAAAAACCATTAATGGTGATGATGATGATACTTTTTAAAAAGACCTTTGAGTTAATATGAACTCAGTGATAACAGAAGTGAGTGAGTGTTTTGCGATGCATACAAAATGCAACACATCTTTTGGATATGATCATCAAGCAGGTAATAAAATGTCCACAGCCTAATCTGAAAGCAGGTTGTCTTTACTAAGCCTTTTCAACTCAAAACAGAGTTTAGATACAAATGGTGTGCTGTTTTATACAGATCTATTTGAACCTCAGCTGCCAGAGCAGTAATAATTTAATAATTGATCTGACCTGTGAATACTTCCGCCTTAAAATAGCTGAAACCCACAGGTTTCGTTGAGACTTGTTCATACACAGCCTGAGCATGAAGATTACCTATGCACTGATAGTTCAGCCAAGAGCAAGCTTTGGGCCCCAACAGCTTCCCTCATGACACATATAAACTGTAATGATTACTGTGGCTAACACACAGCCGCATAAAGAGAGCCTATATGCAAAAGTTACAGTTCTGGTATAGGTTAAGTGTGTACAAAGCTAACTTGTCTCATGTCCCCCTGTGTTGAAAGCCCACATGCCCAGGTTGGAGTGAGTTGACTCAAAACTGCATCTGCAGGTATTCTAGTGTTGTATTTTTGCAGTTCTTCTAATTTTCATTTTTCATGGAATACTTACATAAGGCACAGTAGAGACCAACTTGCTCATATCCACTGCAACAATCTGTCAGATTCATACTCTCTGGGACTGTGACAGGATGATATTCTTCGTTGTAATAGGTTTTGGTGCAAGTCCTCCACGGAATCCACCCTCCGCATAGTGTTTCCTTTTCATATGACTTTCGATAGGCAACCATTTTGTTCACATTTTTGTCTATAGTATAATTGCATAAATGGTAGCTGAGCAAGGAGAGACCTTTCTCTAGAGAGAAAGAAAAACAGAGTGATATAGGAATTAGTGACACAATAGGTGATTTTTCAAAAGCACTCACCTATCAATGTACTTGGGAACAACTGCAGGTGACCAGCCACTGTTTTGTTATTGGGGTGTGTGGGTGTGGGTGTGTTCAAACAGATTAGGTTGGATCCAGATTTCCCATCATGCTTAAAGTAGAGCCAATGAATTTCAGTTGATTTACGGTAAGAATGAGTATGTCTAGGTCTAATCTATTTTTTCATGTCCTCTAATAAAAAATTCAAAAGATTTTAGTAATCTGGAGATCCAGAAGAAAGACAGCCAGGCCGATAAACAACAAGTGCAAGAATTAATGTAAAGATAGAAGTAACTTTAAACATTTTAAATCTTTATTTAGTTCTATTTCATGTGTTTGAAGGAAGAGTAAATTTTCTTTTAACTTGCTTTCCTTGAATGAAGTGGTGTTCTATCTCTAATGCTAAGCAATGAAACTTAGAGAAGTTTTTAATGTTTTGTCGCTTTATTATTATTAATAATATTCTGTTGGGAGCTGCCCAGAGTAGCTGGGGAAACCCAGCCAGATGGACGGGGTATAAATATTATATTGCCAAGTCTATAGCAAAACGGGATCTCTTGCAACTATGTGTACATCAATCAGGAAGACTGGGAGGAAATCCAAGTGTGATAAGCAATCCTATACATTTGCTAAAATCCTGTGTTATTATGTATTGTGTTGTTGTAATGTTGTTGTTATTGCTGCTGCTGCTGCTATATTTATTCAAAATCTACCCCACCCATCCTACAGCCTAGAGTTCAGAGTATAGAGTTCAGTACTCAGAGAAGGACAATTCCCCTGTGTAGAGTTGCTAGGGACAATTCAGAAAATGTTTGCAAATTAGCATTTACTGCTCCATAGCTTCCAAACACAAGGATTAGACTGCCATTAAACTAATTAAAATGTGTTTTGTTGGATGGATTCTTTTAACCAGCTACAAGCTGAAATTTCCAGTATGACCGTAAGAAGGTGATTACTAGGTTTATTATTATGGACTGATTATCACCTTGGCAGTACTTTTTCACCTGTGCAAGCAAACATATTTCTGAAAATTAAAGTGCTATCCCATCAACTAGCAATAGCAGAAAACTTCCAAGTTTGTAACACAGATTATTTGCAACAGGAATATATCATGATTCTTGGAAATATTGATTTACTACATCCATTGGAGACTGTGACAAAGGTTATGTGAATCAAATGTCTTACAGTCTTGCAATATTGTTCTTGGGTAAAAATATCTATTCAGTAGACTAAAACTGCTAACAATGTGTGAAGACAGCAGGTAAAGTAAATTACACATGGCATACTTAATTGGTTAAATAACATGATATATATACTGTGGCAGGTAACCAGTGGAAATGTGGCATGCGAAAGAAGCCCACCCCTTTGGGGTGATGCCAACACCTTTTTACCCTTCTTTTTCCCTATCCGCCTGCTTTTCTTTTCTCCTTTGTCATTTTGTTATGAATATGTTTATGCAAAATTCAATATTTGGAAGGCTACTGCAGAATGTCTGGGAATAAAGTTATGCACACTAGCTGAGGATTCAACGTCCCCTTCACTTTTTAATGTTGGGACAAATTAAGAATAATGAGAAGTCAGGCCTCCTGCAGCAAATAGCAGCTCAGGGCACAGTGTTATTCAATAGCCATATAGAACAGAAGCATGGGTGGGAGAGGGAGAAGCGTGTAGCTTCGGTTTTCTTTCTCAAAATCTTGACATTCTGAGCCAATGATACTGATTACACGACCGCCGCCACCCCACAGGCTACAATCTTATAGGATTCATAGTGGCTACCACTGTAATGAAACTACTGGTTTTAAATTCAGGTAGGTAGCAGTGTTGGTCTGACGCAGTTGAAATAAATTTTAAAAAATTCAAAATTGTCCAGTAGCACCTTAGAGACCAACTAAGTTTTTAAGGTATCTGAAGAAGTGTGCATGCACACAAAAGCTTATACCCAGAACAAACGTAGTTGGTCTCTACAATGCTACTGGACAATTTCAAAAAAAAATTTGCGGGTTTTAATTTACTCAGAATGCAGCTGTCTGCAAAAGCTTTCAACTTTTAAGGACACACTTTTAGAACAGCAAATATTTGTAATTATTCAGAAATCATAGCCCAGCCTAGATGATAAGGGTGAATAAGAAATTAAACCAATGTTTAAATATAGATCTGAATACAGTGGTAGCAGAAGAGCTACACAGTCTTATTGTTCCTATCCATGATTAGGCTAAACAGCATGGTGATCACTTGAGGACTGTATTCTGGGTCCTTTCATGGTTCTGTTTTAAACCAACTGTTTTAAAAACAAAGGTCAGTACACACATTTGCAGGCGCAACATCCTTCACTCCCATTTATCACATCTCTTGTTAAAAGCCTCTCCACAACTGATCTAGCCAGTCTTGCTTACTCACCACTGCCCCAATCGAGAACGGGATCACAGGACTCCAGAGCTAGAAACAGAACTGAAAAACCTCCACATCCACAAATTCTCAGAGAATTCTGCAGAGGCAGTTTCTCTGGTCTATAGTTTACATAGCATAATGACCCTGGTTGGCATCTTTTTTAAGGCGCTTCATGATAAATAGCTGCTTCAATTGCCACCCAGAATCCTATATCCAAAAGACACCAAGCACTCCTGAGAATTTTAAATCCATAATCGCCAATGAGCTAGGATGAATCACAAGAGTTGTCCTGAAAATACATGGTCCCCGAGGTAAAAGTAGATTTTTTAAGAGCAATGTTCAGTGCCGCGTCCAAATTAAAAATAAATGTGAAACTACGTAGGTATCAGTAAAGTGTTTTGCTACTTGCCTGTAAAGGTGTTAACTGTTCTCTGCCCTGTAGTGGTACACAGAATGAAGACGGACACAGCAAGGATCCTAGCCACTGAATTAAAGGTCCTCATCGTTCTTTGCAATATCATTGTTCCCAGGGAACAAAATAGCAGTTGGTTTTACATCCAGATTTTAGGAAATAAAGCAGAAATGCCCTCGTTTTTCTCCTTAGTGTACAGGTAAAGTGATTGGCCTCAGAACAAAGAGAGAATCTAGGCAGTACCTTGCCTGTGGAGGTTCATTAACGCTTTCCCCACGGAATGCTTGCATCTCAATTACTAATCCTGGTCCTCAGCAACCTGATGTAGTCGCTTGCAGAATAACACCCTGATTAAATCTCACTTATTTGTAGCCAGCTTCCACGAAAGTCGACTGGTCTTAAAAACAAGTACATGAGTATAGCATGGGGTGGGGGGTCAGCAGGATTAGAGGGTAGCTCCAGGCCCTTGTGAGAGAAGCAGTGGAAGCTGGGGTGTAGTCTAGATTGAACTGGGCAGAGGGAAGAGACTTCTTTAGGGGAGAACAGGAGTAGTTAAGAGTCAGAGGGTGAAACCACCATCATGTTTCATCATGGGGAACCTGTGTGCCCTTGAGGGCCCCACTCCTTTAGGAGGGAGGTAATCTCTGGGGGGTGCATGTTGGCAGAGCCAATCCCTTCTCTCTATCTCTGTCTCTCAATCTCCTAGTCTCTCTCTGTGCCCCCTCCTTTGTTCTAATCTGCTCCCTGAGATTAGGGGAGCGTGGAATGAGCAAGGGAAGAATGCGTGGCTCTGAAACATGCTGCAAATGTCTTTCTGGATAAAAGCACAAGAAGAAAGATCACCTCAACAGTATCATCTGAATTACAGCTGAAAAATAGCACACTGTGTGTGATTAAATGGAACAGAGGACTTTTAGCAGAGCTGTTTGAAGTTAGACCTGGTAGGACATGAAGGTCGTGTGGCAATAAGATGAGAACTCCTGTTATGGACAGGAGTTCATATGCAGCACCAGTCCCTGTTTGGTTTTCTTAGCCTTATCTACCTTTCATTTTAACTTCTACAGCATACACAAAGTATTTTGGTTTTCCTTGTAGGATTAGTCCTATTTGCAGCATTATATGCATGTTCAAATTCTGTGCTGCAAGTGGTCTCAATCAAAGGATAAATGAATTTGATTAAGCAATGTTTCCATTTACCTTTAAGAGGAGCTTTCATATCCCCTGAGGATGTGATTCCCCCCTGGCTACGGTTACTATAGTGAATGTTTCAGTGCCGTGGAAACAAGTCAAAAGAGGTTTTCAGTGAAGGACTCAAAATAGATTTGCCAGCCATTTTGGACAACAGAAAATATTTTCAACACCCTTTTGCATAATTTGTCAGATGGGGGATTTTCCTACCCTTTGGGGCATTTTTTACTTCTTGGGTATGGTTGGTAATCTTTTACTTTTGTCTTAATTTTCTAAAAATCTGTTACATTCTGCTCAATTCACACCTCAGATTCCTTCTCATGATACCCAAAATATTTGAACCTTTCCTTCCATTCCCTAAATTCAATTGTCCCAACCATTTCTATTTTCTTCTCTCTGCTTCATTTCTTTATGTACACTTATTTGAATACAAAGTAAAATGAAATTCATCCGTAAAGCAGCTTCTTGTTTTTGGTTGTGTGGTTTGTTACTGAACACTATTTGCTGGTAACACTAACTGTAAAAAACAAAACTAAACTTGAAGATATAAAGTTGTAAGTGTTGGTTGCTTTTATATTTGCACCACTCTCTGGACAAACCCACCTCTGTGATCTCCTCTAGACCATCCTGATTAGAATTACTGAGGATTAAGACAGACCCAATATGGCTTGCAGGTGTCAGATCCCTGGCTGCACACCTACCCACCCACCCCCACGGCAAAAGGAAAAATAAAAGCCATTTGGAAGTACCCAGAGTAGCAGGGAATAATACTTTTTCTTCTTGAAGTGAAAGGTGGTGTAACGTGGATTTGTTGAACTAAAACTGAAATGTTGATATTAAAATAACAGGAACTTGTCCATTCAATTAAATGATATCAGCTGTTGAAGAACTGAATATTGCTGTACACCATCCTGTTCTGTTGTGCTGTAGGAAACTACAGAACGTAAAAGAAAAGAATGCTCTGAAATGAGCAGTATTAATGGACAACCCATTCAGAATCTGCACTCAGACCAAAAACAATACGGCAAACTCATTCTTATTTCATGTATCCTGCTTGTGCCATCTCACTCCATCACAGAACCTCCCTCCTGGAAGCCAGTAGCTGGGTTCTAAGGCATATCACACCCCACCACTGCCCACTGTCCAGCAGTCTTAAGAAGATGAGACATCCCTAGTTCAGGTACCCAAATATATATTTTTTTTCATCAGTGAGTTTGAACTGCGCTGTCATATTACCCCTAACTAGCTCCAAATGTGTTAGGCAGATTCTATCATTATGAAGCAAATAGATGGAGAAGGATGAGTTCATCTGTTTTGGAAGAGCAATTGTCTGTGCCTTGTGATCTAGCCTGCATCCTTAACACATGGCCCATAACTGCATAAGTTCATTAAGCTGATCTGAAAATAATTTTGGGTATGTTTGTAGTATAATTGCTGGACTATGATGTACATGTGTTTGGCAGGGAGGGCGGGAGGTATGGATAACTGGAGATAGCGAGAAGCAGTGGAAATGTAAATTAAGGGAAGCATCTGTAATGTTGGACACTGAGAAGACATGACCTTCTCTAAATGACCTTGCATCTTCTTCTGCGCATGTAACTCAAGGCTCTGACTTTAACAAGCCATAACCTGCACAGCTCCCATAGCACCTTATTAACTTGTTTATCCTTTCCATACTTTTGCATTCAAGTAAAACATGTTACATAATGATTATAAAAACAAAATCAAACATATATGTGCTTTCAAATCAGTATATTTATAAAGTGTCCATTTACTATGGGGTTTTTTATATCTGTAAAAAAAAAACCAGTATTTTTTTGTTTTATACATGTAAATACCCAAAGGCAGTGTGACACCAACAACTGAATTTGGAATAGTTTCATTTTTCTCATGTGGGTGATTCACTTGCAAAGAGCTAATGTTTTAACATTCTATGAGCAGAGAGAATGCTAGAATAAAATCTTTATCCATGATATGCTAGCTTTCTTTTTTTTTTTAAAAAAAAGATATTTATTAAAGTTTTCCAATTTAATACAATCAAAAAGAATCAAAAAGAAAAAAGCAAAAAAGTTTAAAAACACATAAAGTTCACAATGCTTATTTTTCAATAACATATTTCCCTGACCTCCTCATACCTCCCCTTCTTGTATTCCAATTCAAATTGTTAGTTCAGCAAATCCTTATCAGTAATTTTTAACCTATTTCTATACCCCCCTTTTTTCCCCCATATCACTCACAACATTACAGCTAAAAACCTCTTAGTTTCTATCCGACATCATTCAACATTCATTAATTTTACAATATTTCTGTAAATAGTCCTTGAATTTCTTCCAATCTTCTTCCGCCAACTCTTCTCCCTGGTCACGGATTCTGCCAGTCATTTCTGCCAATGCCATATAGTCAATCATCTTCATCTGCCATTCTTCCAGAGTGGGTAAATCTTGCGTCTTCCAATACTTTGCGATGAGTATTCTTGCTGCTGTTGTAGCATACATAAAGAAAGTTCTATCCTTCTTTGGCACCAATTGGCCGACCATGCCCAGGAGAAAGGCCTCTGGTTTCTTCACATGATATGCTAGCTTTCTACTCGCAGGGAGCGGTTTCGGGTTTTTTACATTTTGAGGACACACACAAAATAAGCCTAAGGTTTTCTCTTTAAAGCCTTCTGAATGTTATATGCACAAACCTTTTACACACTACAATCAAGATAAATGGTGTTCCATTACTATACTGCAAGTCCTGCCAAGAAACCTAATCCCTAAAGCCTTGTTAACAGGAAAATAACAGCTGTACATAACTACTATACTAATGAAGAAAAAATGTTTACAATTACCATTTTCATTGACTTTTTTTCAGGGTGTGTGTTTGACTTCTCTACACTTATGGTATGAACACTGTTTTTAAAAAAATAAAATGGAATTTTTGCTTTGAAATTTTAGAATTTGTACCTCAGGAGGGTTTTGATAGTTCAGTATACTACAAAAAATAAACATAAACCAAAGGAAGTTTGGTAGACCTTACTCAGAAGCAGTTCTACTGAATTCAACATTAAGCATTTTCAGATTGTACAGCAAATCCTGTTTGAATCAACAGGATTGTATATGTCCAGATCAATTTTACTTCAATAAAATTGCAACATAGCTAATTTTCTTTAGATTTCATCCATCTCTGAAATACTCTGCCATAATTCTATGCACATCAACTCAGATGTCCACCGAGTTAATGTGTTACAGATGGAAGACAGTCTCTAAGTCTCAGTTTGTTTTTAGTATTTTGTAATGGCTAAACAATAAAAAATAAATGCAATATGTAAACAACTGTAAGTACATTATTGTGCTTTTGGCTTGTGGTGTTTGTGTGTGTGTGAGTGTGAGTGAGTGAGTGAGAGTGTGTCCTCTCAGGTGGTGCATTAACTGCCTTCCAGTACAGTAGCTAGGCTAGTGAGAACAAGTGGTTAAGGTTTTTTAAAAATGTTTATATTAAAAGTTTTTCATGGGTAACAAAAGAACATACAGAAAAAGAAGGGCTGGAACTCCCCATAAATGCCCCCCTTTTCTCTTATACTGGCAATGGCACCCACAGGAGAGGTACAGGAACTGTTTCAGCGAGTTGCCCTTGTTATAGTCTGAGACGTTATTGTAATAGGCAATATGGGGTTGACAGGGTGGGAAGTGGGAAGAGAGAGAGCCAGAAAAATCTAGCCTCTAGGTTAGATCACTACAACACATTATATGTGAGAATGTCTGAAGACAGTTCAGAAACGTCAGCTGGCGCAGAATTCAGTGGCTGGTGCAGAATTGCTCACAGGGGCAATACAGTTTGAGCAAATGACGTCAATCATGGCCCAACCACACTGATTCCCAATTAGTTTCCGGAGCCAGTTCAAAGTGCTGGTTTTGACCTATAAAGCCTTAAATGGCTCAGGACAGCAATACTTCGAGGACCGCTTCTCCCTATGAACCGACCTGGACTCGGTGACCATCACCTGAGGCCCTTCTTCATGTGCCTCCTCTACAAGAGGTCCAGAGGGCACCAATACAAGAACGGGCCTTTTTTGCAGTGATTCCATGCTTGTGGAATGCCCTCCCCATCATTTGTCTTCAGGCGCCAGACAAAAACTTTAAAAGTTGGCCTTAAACTATGTGTAGGCTTTAGAAGTGGGTGGGATTCTTTTAATGTATTTCTCTTTCCTCTTGGTTTTAATACATAGTAATCCCACAATTTACGCACATTTAATTTGTGCTCATCTAGCTTTACAATCATGGTAATAAATAAATAAAATGGTGGTGGAAAGGGGTCAGGATTCTGGAGAAAATGACTTTGGCAATCCCACCCCAGAACATAACCCGCAGCTAAATTATCATAGAATTGTAGGCCTGGAAGGGACCATGAGGGTCATCTAGTCAATCCCCTGCAATGCAGGAATCTTTTGTCCAACCTTCAGATTAAGAGTCTAATGCTCTACCTACGACGCTATTCCTTTCCTTGGGTTGCAGGCTTACTGTATCTATGTGGGGTTTATTGTCTATTTGTTTGGTTGTAAGTTACTTTGGATGACAAACTTAATGAATATAACTTATACAAACTTAATGAATAAAATAAAACTTATACAGAGAATGCACCAAATCAAGATTTTCTGGTAACAAGGACAGCTACAGAAACCGAAAACCACAACTCAACTAAGTTGCATTGTCATTTTGCAGTTCTCACAAATCATGGGAGAGCAGCATAAATTCTTCCTCGTGCATGCTAAAAGCATGTTTGCGCTTGTCCTCTGCCAGTTATTTTCACTTCTTGTGTGTGCTTTTTTCAATAAACAAATAAAATTCAAAGGCGCAATCCAGCTGCTCAGCAGGCTTGTGATTCGCATTAGATACGAGGCACGGAAAGGCCTCGCCTGTGTAAACTCCCTGAAAATAAACTTGGCGCTGAATCAGAGCCTCGTTTCCCTCTGCATTTGCGGGTGGGAAGGGGAACCTCGCCTTGATCAGCAGCAGGGCTGCAAGACTGAAACGCGCTCAGCAGGGGCGCCGGCCGCTTGGAAGACCCAGCTCGCACTACGAAGTCTTTGACTCCAGGAGGACGAAAAGAGATGCCACTTATTATTGGCGCTTGCCAAGGCACAAGCGGCATTTTATTAAGAAAACAAAGACTGCTGGAAAGATATTTATTCCCCACCCCTTCCTTCCTTCTTTCTTCAGAACTCACACAGGCAGCAAGTTTCCACCCGGGAGTTTTTATTTGGCAGAGGCGCGCGCGCGCGTATCCTGCCGCGTGAAGTGCTTACTAAGGGGAATCCACAGAGGAAAGACTCCCTTCCTCATTCTTTCAAAAAGGGGGGGGACGCCTTGGGTCGGCTTCATGTCCCTCAGGCCTCCTCCTCCTCCTCCTTCCTTCCTCCTCAGCGACCTGCTGAGTTCCCGCCGCCCTTAGCAACGACCAGCGCCGCCCGCTCCCCTACTTGGCAGGGAGCGCTCGCTGGCTGTGGGGAGGAGAAACATCGCCCGCAATTGCTATGACACCCCATTAAACACAAACACGCTCCACCGCCATTTCGGGCAATTTATGTTCTCCTGCCGCCGCCGCCGCCGCGCCCCCCCCCGCCGTCCCCGCCTGGCGCTGACCAATCGGAATGTTGCGCACGTGACGAGCGTTCACTGCGATGACCTCATCCCTGGTGTGGGATGACGTCAAATTCAAGATGGATGGAATCACGGCGGTGGCGGCAGCGCGCGCGGGTGAATCGTAAAAGGAGACGGCCGGAGAGTGGGGGGGAAGGAAGGGGGGAGCCTGTCCAGCGGCGGAGAAGGTGAGTAGCGGGCCCCAGTTCCTGCCTGCTCAAGGCGGGTCTCCCCCCACCCTGCACAAAGGCGTGGGTTTCCCCATGCACAAAGGCGTCTTTTCCTGACGTAACTCTGAGGTATGTTTTTCCCCCCCTCCACCGTGTAAGGGCTGCGGTCCCTGAGCTCGCATTTGCGCCTGCGCAGGTTACAAAACGGGTTCCCACCCCTTTGCGGCGCATGCGTTGATCCCAGCAGCCTCGCTCATGGTACTGAATACGCATGCCCTTGTATTCCTCTGGGTGTCTAATACGCATGTCTGTTGCCCGCTCTCGGTGCATGGTTACTTCTTTTCACTGCGCCTGTGCGTTGCCCATACGGACACAGTTGACCGCACACCCGCTATGCTCGGGTAGTCCCTGTGGGTGGGGTGAAAGAGGGCTCTGTGAGCGTGCGCAGGAAAATGGGTGTGGTGGGCTGTTGAGCCTTATGATGTCATTCTGGGTAAGGAGTAGGGGGGGAATTGCTCTCTGCAGAAGGAAAAGGGTGCTAATGCGCCCTCTGATAAGTGCTTTACACTTCTTGAGATGCTAGCATTTGGAGATGGAGGTTCAAGCACAAATAGAATCTGCACCCTGTGACATACATCCCCCAAACCAACATACACGTGGGTTGGTTCTAGCTATGCAGGAGGATTCTGGGGAGCGCTTTGGTCATAATAGCCAGATATTATTTTGCTTTTGTTTTATCACTTGCTGACCCCCCTTAATGAAAATAGTTATGGGCTTGAACTTACACTGCTACCTAAAAAACTATGAATTTAGGTTTGCCCTTGTTGGTCTAGGTTACTGTTGCTTTGTTAACTCCCCGATTTTTGTATTTTGCAGTACAATCTTATGCATGTCAACTCTAAAGTATGCCCCATAGACTTCAAATGGGCTTACTCCCAGGTAAGTTAGTATGGAATTGAAGCCTTACTGTAACATTGCGATGATTTTTATTGTTATTTTTTAAATCAGAAATGTGCTTTATTGTCATGTGATTGATTCAGATAAAATAGCATTATCTCATCATTGCTTTACAGTCAAAAAGTAAAAGGAGAGAGAAATGAGAAATCATAGCACAAAGGCATATATGTACAGATAAATAATCTATTAAGATTATTGATAAGTTAATAATGGATAGCTGACAGAGTGGAAGAATATGTGGAGATAAATTCTTAAAAAATGGTGAGTAGAATCGAAAATGAGATAAAATAAAGCAGAACATCTAAAATGGCGAGTCCCCAAATGAAAGAGCTGTTTAATGATCAAATCACTGTGATTGAGTTATAAGGGTAAATATTATCTTCAGTTTTCTCATTCCATTGACTTATGAAAAAAGTCCATTGCTCTATGGACTTATTCTCATGTTGATCTATTTCTTCTCTTCTTAGATGTGCATTTTAATGCATGTTATTACTTGTCATTTATTTTCCAACCAGACTTTTAATTGAACACATGCTTTGATCTTCTCATATTTTGCATTGTAAATTCTAGCAAGAGCTAGGAGAGTAACAGTTGCTTCAAAATCAATTAGTCTCACTTCAGATTTCAGGTACCAAAGAGGAGAATATTTTATAGTGTATATATATCTTGGGGCAGGGGGAGGGGACTTTTGTCGTTTAAAGTTAGGCTATAAATGTGATAAAGAAATACAGTGTGGTGCTATCAAATACCATTGCCTGCTGAAATCAACTCAACCATACTGATGCCAAATCCAGCCACACAGATCAACAAGAACTAACTTGAGATCCAGCTAGATCAGCTATAGAATCTGCTACTTCAATCCCAGAACTGTTTTCATTACAAGGTGCCAGCCCTGGGATACACAAAAATAAAGTGCATCTGGCCATGTATGTGCTGCCCAGCCATCTTTTGAGTAACTACAACCAGCCCATACAAATAAAGCATTCTGTTTAGATTTAATTTCAGTAGGCCCAAGCAGATGCGCCAGAATGTCTTCATGTGGAACATGAGTTTTGTGATACATCTAGCAAATGTATGTCCCAATATGATACAATGGTATCTAGTCATCTAAGTGAAAACTGATTGTGTATACAAATAAAACAACCCCACAACACACAAAGTAACACAAAAGAGTCTGAGGAATACAGGGTTTCTGCTCATTGCAGGAGCAGATGACAAAATAACAGTGCCATCAATTTCAGCCAATATCCTGCCTAAAATGGTCTGAACATGATGATGAAATTCAAGTAAATGAGATGGGCAGGTTTTCCTGGATAAAGTTGCTTTATATGTAGGTGCCACAACTGAAAAGGCCCTGCCACTTATGCTCAGCCATCACATTTCAAGGCAATGGGGGGCATTCGCTGAAGTTTTTCTGACAATGGGCCAAGTACAGGGGAAGAAGCATGTGTTAATAAAAATGGACCACTTCTGTTCTGCCCCCTTCCCACTTCAGTCACACAAGGACACAAAGTTAAAACAATCCAAAATCCTAGTGAAACAAAAGTGCTGGTGGAGTACAGTTGTTCCTTTCCCAGCATGCTTTGCCATTTCACTGGGAAGGCAGTCATGGAGAAGAAGCCCTTGGTGTGAATTTCTTGGCCACACCACAGGAAAGTGAATCTCCAACTCAGAGTGACCATCCTGTGCTCCCAAGGTGAGGCAGAAGGCATCCTTGGGCATCAAAGTCAGACATCACCTAATGTGGCTATAATAGACCTCCAAGTGAGGGCCACCAAGTGTTACCCTCTGAAGTCCTGCCTGTGTCAAAGACAGGGTTGTGAAAAGCTAAAGTGAAGATTGATGACAAGACTATTACCACCACCACCCCCCAAAAAAAAACTTTGCCTCTGTTGTGATTGAGTAATGAAGATGCTTTCTCCATGCTCTTCTCTAATACTTGAAGTGAACTAAGCTGGGGAAAGCAGTTGAGAGATGTGAAGTGCGGGTGGGGTGGGTTTTTCCTCGCAAAGTGTTCAGTTGTATGCGCTGGGCTTAATTACATGTGCTTTAGGCTTAGTAGGAGATGAGAACTAAAGTGGTACTCCAAAAATATTGACGGAAGAGGGTTTTAAGGAACCTTTGAAGGAAGAGAGAAGTTGCATCATGAAGGTGTTCTGTATGAGCATTCTTGACATAAGGAGTGGAAGGGAGAAAGAGCACAGTTGTTTAAGTGAGCAGGGAACCTTTAAATAGCTGGCAGGGTGGAATGAAGGCCATGGGTAGTGATATATCAAGACACAGTAGTGGAGATAGCATGGTGCAAAGCCATGGAGGACTGCACTTCAAAGGTGAGGGTGAGATGTTTTTACGCAAATGGACAAGAAACCAGTGCAGGTGTTTGTGCAGGATGTCACATACTGTAGACTGAACAGCAACATTGGTAAACAGGTCTTGCTTCAGTACCCAGCATAGTCAACTAAATTCTGGGCCTCACTAGCTCCAGGAGACCCACTTGGGCTGTTGCTGACCACTTTAAAAATGTTTTTTAAAAAACAAATGGGTGGCCCTGTGCTGTATAGAAGTGGTGGTAAAAAGATACAGCCAGTGCTACAGTGATCATCTTTTTTCCAGTACATCTGTACACCTGGGCAAGTGCTTGATAAGTCTGAGGTAGAACTATGGGGCACACCTTGCTCAGGGGCCTCCTCTCGCTCCTGACACTGCTAAGCAGGGGGAAAGAAAACAAAGCCCAAACCTGACTTGTAATATAAGAACATGGGCAGAATGAGTGGGAGCAAAAGTTTGTTCATGGCTGGCCACTTGTGGACATTTGAAGGAAACAAGCCACAGGCCCATGTGTTCACACACATTGTGACATGACAGGCTTTGGGTTGTGGCTTGTTTCTTCTCCTGTGCAGTGCGGTAATGGAGGAGGAGCAAAGCACCTGAAAATGTGAAACTTTCACACACTGATTAAATTTTTTTCAAGCAAGCTGTTTTATCTCCCCCAGATCATCTGAGATGCAGACCTGAAAGTAACTGCAAATTAAGGAAGAAATGGAATCCTGAATCTTTCTGTTGTTTTTGAGCATATTCTAAATTCAAAAAGAGAGAAGGAAGATCTTATGGTATGCTTTATTTTTAAATTACATTTGTTTTAAGATTATACTTTTTTGAGAAATTTCATTGTGTTTAGAGAGCATACCTGTTGGTGGGACAGGGGGACACTGCTGGAATGGGAGCCCTGCTAGACACACCTTGCAAGGTAGAAGTGAGGGTGAAGGAACAGTTTCTGTTCTTCTGTCTTTTCTGGGCATTCCCTCCTTCCTTCACTCTCCATTTTGGAACTGTTTCCTTCCCACTGTTTCCACTGGGAGGGAAATCACTTAGGTGAGCTCCAGGGCTGGCATATGTTTCCCCTGGTTTGGGGAGTAGTGTGTCCAGGGGCTGGGGATGCTATGGGTCTTTCAGATCCATGCCTTCACCAGATCTGACACCAGCATGCCCTTTTTGTGACTCTTCTCATGTTGGAAGTCCATCGTCAATGAGGCAAGAGTCATGGAGGTTTTCATGTCAAGCGGGTGCTACCCAAGGTTGGACCTTCCCCTCTGGAGTCAAATCTCTCTCTCCACCCTTAGAGTGGGAGGTCTGAAACACTCTATGGCCCCTGAGATGCCTTCCCAAAGGACATAGCATTGGAGGATAATAGTAAAATTAGCTGGAGAAAAGCTAGCCTCTTTGGATGCAAGGCTAAACTATAGCTAAGCCTTACATGAATGAGCAGAGGGAACCTGCAGTTTGTGTTGCTAGGCTACATCTCTAATCATTTACATCCATTGGCCACAGGTTTCCATTGCTGAATTATATAAACAAGAACTGTTCCTAAAGTTTTCTTCACTTCTTTTCTGCTGCATAACTCATGATACATATAGGTGTTCAACCCTCCTGCTCTTGACACAGCCTTGTACTCTTGAGTCAACCTTGCTCTAACACTCAGTTTCCCAAACATTGGGCTGGAGCCAGACTAGGTTAGTTGCACTTGATTACCATTGAAAGCAATGGGATTTAAGTCATATTGATTTCAATTTGAACAGACTAATTTAGTATCGATCCAAGCCAGCCTGCACGTGTACAGTGGGTTTGAAACTATACAGCACAGTGTCTATGTTTACTTAGTAATAAGTCCTGCTGTGTTGACTAGATCTTTCTCCTTAGTAAGTATATTTCGAACTGTGCCCTTAATATTTGTTTAGAAATAAATGGGGGGTTACCCCCCCCCCCGAATCTGACTTTTAAGTATTTGCATGCAGTTTGCTTTCATATATTGGGTTATTTTTTGTTACAGAACAGGAGGGAATACCTAAACACATTTTTTGAACTCTGCTAGCTACTGTATGTAGTAATCACTACATTGGGGTGCCTTTTTAAAGATAAGTTAGCTTCCATATGCCTAGAATCATATCTGGTTGTTGTTGTTTGCATTTATGAATTGCTACTGATAAGGCATCCTGGAGTGATTTGCAGTACAATAAAACATATAAAACAGTTTAAACAATTGCATATATAAAAACAACTATATATAAAACAGTTTAAAATGGCAGCAAATATATGAAATCAATTACTGTGCACTAGGCTAGGCCTGTTGTAGTGGCTTACTGTGGGAGGAATTAAACTTCCGCTCTTCTGTTCATTCTGTGTGTGCAAGCATTCATTGCTTCAAGACGGAAAATCCCCCCCTCCTCCTTCCTCATGTTGTTATGGGGGTTTACCTGGCTTTCCAGCGTGGATTTGGGAAGAGAAATGTCCACACAGCACTAAAGGGAGCCGTTGTGATGGCTTTTGTTAACACACCAGGTTAGTTGAATCAGGGCCGATGTATTCAATGTATTGCTCTTTTAACTCCCATGGTGTATTAGGCATATCATCTTCCCTCTGTCTCCAAAGGAAAACAGATTACTATTTATATATTGACTTTTCAGCCTGTTACTGGAGAAGAATCCTGTACTTTTACAGCTAGCTTTCTTTCTTTCTTTCTTTCTTTCTTTCTTTCTTTCTTTCTTTCTTCCTTCCTTCCTTCCTTCCTTCCTTCCTTCCTTCCTTCCTTCCTTTTTTTGTTTCTTGTAAATGTACCTAAACGCTATTGGTTTTATTTTTTCTTGTCTTCCAGGTATACCTAAATCATGGAGGGACTCTTGCATTATATAAATCCAGCACATGCTATTTCTCTCCTAAGTGCTTTAAATGAAGAACGACTAAAAGGGCAACTTTGTGATGTTGTTCTTATAGTGGGAGACCAAAAATTTCGAGCTCATAAAAATGTTCTGGCTGCCAGCAGTGAATATTTTCAGTCTCTGTTCACTAAGAAAGAAAATGAGTCTCAATCAGTGTTTCAGCTTGACTTTTGCGAACCAGATACTTTTGACAATGTATTAAACTACATTTACTCATCATCCTTGTTTGTTGAGAAAAGCAGCCTTGCTGGTGTGCAAGAAGTGGGCTACAGTCTTGGGATTTCCTTTCTTACTAACATTGTTTCCAAAAGTCCTCAAATTCCATTGCCTGCATGTCCTATTAAGAAAATATTTTTCCAAGAGGATGATGAAAGCAGTTCCCAGAAAAGAAGTGTCATAGTTTGTCAGAGCAAAAATGAAGCACAGGGGAAAAATGTTGGTCAAACCTCACATGATGTAAGCCATAATTCTAAGTCCTCGTCCTCAGTTGCTGTCAAACCTAAGCGGCCACAATCTACACAGCCAACTGAGTTTCTACATAGCTTATCGCAAAATGAAAGGAGATGGCTGAAAGACAGTTCTTTAAGATACTCCAAGTCCCACGAACATTCTTCGGCTACAGCAGATGATCAAAGCAGAACTAAAAGGAATGCAGTATTGTCACAGAAAACATCTGTAGAGGAAGAAGTGGGAGCAGATGAAGCAGGAAGAAGTGATCAGTTCCTAAGAGGAAAGGCAGCAGAAGCACCTTTGAAGAGACCTTGTCCACCAGTCTTATCCTTACGTAGCTCATCTGAATCCACATTTTTGTTGAGAGAGACCGGAAAAGGAGCTGGTCCAGGGGAAGACAGGAATTTGCTATACTATTCAAAGTTAGGATTAGTGATCCCATCTAAGGTATCTGGTCCTGCGAACCAAAGTATTGACAGGAGTGGGCCGCTTGTAAAGAGTCTCCTTCGAAGGTCATTGTCCATGGATAGTCAAGTTCCTGTTTATTCGCCTTCTGTCGACTTCAAGTTTTCTCAAGGAACTTCAGCGGTGAACAACGCACAAGGGAGAATGTTAAATGTAATGTCACAAAAGCCATCTGTGAAAGAGTCTTCAGGAGAGGCAGCTCCTGATGACAAGACACATGTAATGTACCCCCATCGCCTTAGGTCCTTTAGTGCCTCCCAGTCTGGAGACAGGGAGGTCGCTTCACCTCTTAGAGAAATACGGATTAAAACAGAACCTAGCAGTCCACTTTCAGAGCCTTCTGAAATAATAAGAATTACTGTTGGGGATGCTTCATCATCTTCCAATAAGATCAATGCTTTTAAAACAGAAGATGATCATAAGGATCTCAGTAGACTCCCAGCTAAAAGGAGGTTTCAAGCAGACAGAAGGCTACCACTCAAAAAAATCAAAGTGGATGAACATGCTTCCCCTGGGTCTGAGGACAATTTTGAGGAAAACTCAAATCCTACACCCCATGATGCTGATTTCCCAGATTCTGACATTAGCAAAGATGAATATAGTGAGCTGGAAGAAACAAAGCCTAACAAAAAGTTTAAGTGCAAACATTGCCTTAAGATATTCAGGTCAACAGCAGGCCTTCATCGTCATGTCAATATGTACCACAACCCTGAAAAACCCTATTCTTGTGATATTTGTGATAAGAGATTTCATACAAACTTCAAAGTTTGGACGCACTGCCAGACCCAGCATGGAATTGTGAAGAACCCTTCACCTGCTTCCAGTTCCCACGCTATCTTGGATGAAAAGTTCCAAAGGAAATTAATTGATATAGTGAGGGAGCGAGAGATTAAAAAGGCCCTGATCGTCAAGCTAAGGCGTGGCAAGCAAGGTTTTCAGGGGCAGGCTGGTTCACAAGCACAGCAAGTCATCAAAAGAAACCTGAGGTCGAGAACCAGAGGAGCCTACATATGTACCTACTGTGGGAAGGCATATCGCTTCCTCTCACAGTTCAAGCAGCATATAAAAATGCATCCAGGGGAAAAAGCAGTTGGAGGAAATAAGCCACTTAAGCCCAAAGAGGAACCTCGCGTCGAAAGCCCAGTCGAAAACAAAAAAGTTTACCAGTGCCGCCTTTGTCATGCTAACCTTCCCTCTCTTATTGAACAGGGGAATCATGAGCGGCTCTGCCGGAATGCAACCGTCTGCCCATACTGCAGCCTCCGTTTTTCTTCTCTAAACCTGAAGCATGACCACGAAATGGCATGCGAATACAAGAAGCTCACCTGCCTAGAATGTATGCGCACTTTCAAATCCTCTTTCAGTATTTGGCGTCACCAGGTTGAGGTTCACAATCAAAATACCATGGCTCCGACAGAGAACCTGTCTCTGCCGGTCGTGGAACACAACGGCGAAGTGAGCGGCACTTCCAGGCTGCATTCTCAGCTGGAGCCGAACAAGACGAACAGCTTCGTTGCAGCCAAAGAAGACAGCGTGTTCAGCGACTCCTCCGAGCAGATTAATTTTGACTCGGAAGATTCCTCATGCCTCCCCGAAGATCTGAGTGTCTCCAAGCAGTTTAAAATCCAAATCAAAGAAGAGCCTGCAGATGATTTAGAAGAGGAGGTCTCTGAAGGCAACCAGGAACACAAGGAAACCGTCTCCAATAAAGACACTGGCTTGTGGCCTTGTGAAAAATGTGGGAAAATCTTTACAGTACACAAGCAGCTAGAGCGCCACCAGGAGCTTTTGTGTTCTGTGAAGCCCTTCATTTGCCATGTGTGCAACAAGGCCTTCCGCACCAATTTCCGCCTGTGGAGTCACTTCCAGTCCCACATGGCACAAGCTACAGAGGAGCCTGTGCGAAAAGAACCTGAGATTTATGCACCAGCTAATTCTCCGTCGCCCCCACCTTTGCCTCCTCCCCCACCCCTTCCCAAAATACAACCTTTGGAACCCGATAGCCCTACGGGGTTGTCAGAAACTCCTTCAGTTACTGAGAAATTATTTGTCCCTCAGGAATCGGACACACTCTTTTACCACGCTCCGCCACTTTCAGCGATCACTTTCAAAAGACAGTATATGTGCAAACTCTGCCATAGGACATTCAAAACTGCATTTAGTCTTTGGAGTCACGAACAGACACACAATTAAAAGAAGAAGGCATAAAGAATGCCTACAAGGGATTTTTAAGATTTAATTTCCCTGATGTTTCTGAAGTTACAGCATTTGAAATGAAGTTTTTTTATATATATATAAAGGGACAAGAACCCTCAGCAATTAAATTTGACATTTGTGGTGCAGCTTTGGATGTGGAGATTAAGGTAAACTCAATTTATTGTTAGTAAATTGCTCACATTTTAAGGCATTGTGGTCTAGGATCTCCTACTTAATGAATAATTGCATTCATTTAAATCTGGTTAGTTCATCCTGTGATCTTGGTATATATGGATTTATATAAAAAGGCAACAGCAAGTTAAAAGAGTTTAGAATAATGCAAATCCTGAAAAATGTTTATTGTTTTCACAGAGATTAATTCTCTCATGGGCGCCATAGAAATATTACTCATTCATTTGATGTTAAGGGAAGAAATTGAGAATTTTGCTGTGTTGACCTTGATCTTATTGAACGTTAGCAATAACAAATAAAACCTCATTTGAGTTAACTTTACCCTTATTGAAAACTGATTAACATGGAGTTTTTTTGGTTACTGGAATTTTCTGTATGGATATTGTGCAAGATACGCTACAATTAAATGTTAGCAATATGTGAATATTTGGATTTTTATATATAAAGTAGCAGCCAGCCTGCTTCCAGCCATTTAAAAGCATTTTTGAAGGAAGAGTATCAAAATGAAGATGCTTTATTTGGGCCTCAGAGGCCGATATTCTATAGATATTTTGGTAACTAGACAATGTGCTAAGCAACTGCCAACTGATATCCTAATGCAAACTATATTACTGTTCTAAATACAAAACAGCATTGAGTGGATGTCAAAAATTAAGTTGTGCTTTGTTTCTTCTGATTTGTATTGGTGTGGATGTGTTTTATTACAGTGGAATGTATGACTATGCTAGTTCTGAAAAGGAGAAGCAAATGCCATTTTTTTGGTGGTGAGCTCTGCTGAGAATACAAGAAAGTTTTTTGGGGGGGAAGTTCAGATGTAAATATTTACATATGTATAAGTGAATAAAATAAAAACACAGAACCTCTATTAAATATAAATAGTTTGGAAAGGAAAATGCAGTACCACAAATGTATTTCACAAATAACGAGCAGAATGTTTCTCTTACCCTGTATCATACTTTGAGTATCCTTTTGTTTTGTACTTAAATAAAAAAAAGATTGTTTAAAGCATATGAAGTACAATCCAATGCTCACTTAGGCATGCTTAAGGCCCATGGGTTGTATTCAACGCTGTTGTTCCACTTGTACAGCAGACTTCCACTTGTGCAATATAATGTACCCCATTCACCTGCAGACCCCTCAAAATCTGCTCCAGAGGCTTGGGGGACCCTCCAGAGTAGATGTTGGGGGAGTAACAGGGGGATAGTAAAGTTTTATTGTGCAAGCAAGCGGAATTCTGTCACACAGCGTTTGATAGGACTCGTTGATTTTTGTGGGTCTAATCATGCAGTAGATGGTGACATGCAGTCATACTTACTGTGTTAAGAGCATGTAAATTCCACTTCATCCAGTGCAATTTACACACACACCTATTTATAGGACAGGGGTAGCCATATACCTTTTCCAAAGATCCATGTGTGCTTAGATAATATGCACAAATTCTTGTACACATTAGGCTTCTCATTCATTGACTTCACCTGTTGAAATAAAGGGAGAAACCATTGGGTAGGCAAGTTCTGTGTGCACTCTGGTTCTCATGCAGTTGGAAAAGACTACTGGAATTGGGTCACTGAGTTGTAGCAGGGCCCTTGCTCCCAAATGGCAGAGTAGCATCATTAATACAGATATCTGCCAGGAAGCTCTTACGGTTTTGTTTCCTACTCAGGAATCGACATTTAAAACTAATGAATTGCTAGTTGCATTTTAAACTTGATCTAAGGTATGAATGCTGTAGTTGAATTACTTAGCTTTTGGATTATGGGAAAAGACAGGAAACTTTGGTGTTCAGCACTGAGTAATTATGAGATTCATTAAAAGGAGTGAGAACTTGGTTCTTGAGTTCGTGTAGAGCGGGAGTAATAACTGGCACCCCAATATTAAATGAATTTATTTTTAAGGAATTCTGTTGATATCAATAGAATCAACTTCCATGGCAGTCCAGAAAGAAGAAGAACACAGCACATTTCCTAAGACTTACTACATATTTGGAAATTAGTCCCATTAAGAAGCAATTTTGATCTATTTAATGCCATTAATGTGAAATATGGTTGGGTTGTTTTGTTTTTTACTTGCTTTCTGAAGAATAGTGTATTAGAAGCTCCTTTTGAAGCCCAGCTATATATTAAAAGCAGCTTCTGATGAAGCATGTGGAACTGCTCTTCAGAAATGCAAATAAAATAGCTCATTACCTGTGTGGATCTTCCATGGTTCCATTTTAAAATCCAACAGGGTGTGAGGCATACAACACCTGGATCTTTCTTTCCTAAACTTTAAGATTTTGCATAGCTTTCAAGTAGAATAAGAACATCAAGTGATGAAAGCATGAGACTTAATTTCAGAGTTGTGGGTTCGGGTCCTATGTTGGGTAAAAGATTCCTGCACTGCTGGGGGTTGGACGAGATGATTATCTGGGTCCCTTTCAGCTCTGCTATTCTGTGATTCTGTGCAGTGTAACAGAATTCTAAAAGTGGAAGCGAGGCCTATTACTAGCGAGACCTTTGTGCTGTAAGCAAATATTTGTATCAAAACTTTGCTTATTCCATACTTAAAAGGTATTTAGGGCCGTTCGCTCAGGGCTTTTCTCACACATTCCAGCATTCCTTACCCATATCTGTGTGTAGCACATAAATACCTTCTGCAGAAATAGCAGAACCTTTTCCAACTGCTGTGACAAGAGAAACCTATGCTAGTTGCATCTCTTCTCCTTTAGTTTACACGTTGCATGTCTCCATATGTGTATCTGCCTAAGGATGGTCATGACTACTCATATGTAGACGGGAACGGAAAGTGCAACTCAACCTACCTACAGTTTGTCCATTGGTTTTATACACAAAACACTATGCGGTCAATTTCATTCATCAGAACTTCACTGATGTTAGTTATAGAACTTGCATTAATTTCAATGGATTGGAGTCAATATCATCCTTTCTAGATACCAGTATTTTATTCTAGCAGGGCTCCTGTGCCTTTAAGCAACTATGGGGCAGACATTTCCCCCGGCTTTGACTCCATACTGGGAATAGCTTCACCTATTGAATTTCTTCTTACAAGCCCTGCCAAAACCAGGTCCCCCCACCTCAGTCCTAGAAAAGGGAAATATGCCTTCATAGCAGTGCTTTGTTAACTGAATCCTCAAGCATCTAGAAAAGGGAAGTACCGGTACTATGCCTGTCTAATGGTGCTTCACTAACTTAATCCTCAAGCAGAAACTTCAACAGGAGTTCTGCTATATTACTATTTGGGTTATAATAAGGTAATAAAACCTAAATAACTAGGATTTTAAAGACTACAATATGCTTTTTAAGAAATGGGGCTTTTTCTTAAAAGATAATACTAAGGATTTTTGTTAGTTTCTAATGTTAGGTGTGTTTTTGTTACCTTTTTCACATCAGTTCTTGTTTATTAACTGTTTAAAAAACAACCCTGCCTCTCAGAATACTTTTTTGGGTACGTTTATAGACAGAGATTTTCCCTCTAGGTTTTTAATCCAATACTTTAAAGAGCTGTAAGAGTGTTTATTTTGCTGGACATGGAATAAATATACTTCTGCTTAAAGATTAATATATGTTTTAAAAGTTATAAATTATGGAATATGTTGCTTATTATATACCTTAAATCTTCAAGGAATATATTTAGTTTGACCATAATAAAAATAAAATGAAAACTATTGATTCGTTATTTATCATGTTTAATTCTGCAGTGCTGTAATGAAATACCAAAATAGTCTCATTCTACACAAGAAAAGGCTTTGGCCTTTTGTTTGAGCATATATTTTTATCAAATAAAGTTCACAATCTCTCAAACTGAGGGATTTGAGGTATTAACATGAGAAAAATTTGCAGATTTTAAATACATATTTTACAATACTTATTTAGGTTTGTTGCTAAAATGGACAAAATTCAGCCCTGTTCCAAATAGTCACTTGAATGAGAATTTAATGTCAACATATTCAGAAGTAGCCCTTGAAATTAAAGTAATTTCAGACTTGTGTAATAAGAGTATTCCTCCAGAAAAGCTTAATCAACATCTGGAAATGGACATTTAATTCTGAAAGCACCAATACTTGAAAAGGTGTTTTTGGTTTTAAGCAAGTGCTTTGCTGAATTCTATCTACACATAAAAATATCCAAATGGTAATAACTGTGGAAAAACTTCATGGAAGTATTTCTCTTAAAAGGCTACATTTTTTAGCTATTTAAACATACTAAGGAAATGTAGCATTACTTTCCCATTTACCATTGTTGGCTTTTTCTGTATGGAAAGGAAGGGTTATGAAAACAATTTTTAAAAAAATAAATGGATCCTTAAATTATTCTCTCCCCCCCCCACCCAAGCAACTATTGATGGCTCACTTAGAATAGCCACACTTAGGTCAATGGGATGATTTCAGAGAATTGCATCTGGGTGTCACCCTTGTGATTATATATTGGGATACTTTATTTACTCTCCTATATTTACTAGGGGGGACGCGGGTGGCGCTGTGGATTAAACCACAGAGCCTAGGACTTGCTGATCAGAAGGTCGGTGGTTCGAATCCCCGTGACAGGGTGAGCTCCCGTTGCTTGGTCCCTGCTCCTGCCCACCTAGCAGTTCGAAAGCACGTCATAGTGCAAGTAGATAAATAGGTACCGCTCTGGCAGGAAGGTAAATGGCATTTCTGTGCGCTGCTCTGGTTCACCAGAAGCGGCTTAGTTATGCTGGCCACATGACCCAGAAGCTCCCTTGGCCAGTAAAGCGAGATGAGCGCCGCAACCCCAGAGTTGGTAACGACTGGACCTAATGGTCAGGGGTCCCTTGACCTTTTATTTACTAGGGCAGTGCACATAATCTTGCCAGATATCAAACCAAATTCAAGTTGAACTGGGGTGCAGCTGGATTGGATTGAGGCAACCCCAGGTCAGGTCAGGTCCACCTGGAATGATCTGGGAGTGTCAAGGGCGGCAGTCTAGCAGCAAGGGCAGGGGCAGATGTGCAGGCAACCTGCATGTGTTATTCTCTCCCCCCCACCCGAAGAGCATGCTTAATTAGGTAATTAAACTCTGTGTACAGGCCTGGATTGGTAGGGGCCCAGATCAGAGTTGGTTCAATCCCAGGTCAGATCAGGGCTGCTCCAAAGCAAATATTTATCTCTCTCGCATTACACAGCTTTCAAATTATTGTAGTAATTCCTGGATTCAAAAGTGGGAAATCCAAATAAACTGCATTTAGCAACATGGTCAAAACTCTGAACCCAGCAACTTTGATTCCAAACTAGTTCCATGTATTGATTTAGACCACAGCTTCAATGAAATTGTTTCAGACAGTTTTTCTGTATCTTTAGCACCATGTCTGTATCCTGACTTAAGGGTTAGAGCAGGCATAGGCAAACTCAGCCCTCCAGATGTTTTAGAACTACAACTCCCATCATCCCTGACCACTGGTCCTGTTAGCTAGGGATCATGGGAGTTGTAGTCCCAAAACATCTGGAAGGCTGAGTTTGCCTATGCCTGGGTTAGAGACACAAAATATTGTTTTTTAAGAGCTGAAAGTTCTCCCACAGTTATATTTGATTCAGGAGATCTTTCAGGTTTCTAAAATTACAAACCTTTCAAACCTGTTTATCAGTGCCATAGGAAGGTGTATATCATCATAGGTAACAATAACTTTACCATGTTTCTCTGGAAGTGTGTTTTTATATCTTCTTCAACCCTAACCCATTGTCATTAGCAGCTGGTATGTGCCTATAGTCCTCTGTAACATTGTTTACATTTTCTTGCCTGAGTATTAGGGTAAAACAAACGTACATTTCTTTTTCCTACAGTGGTAACTAGTTCATCAGTACTGAAACCTTGTATAGAGCTGTACCTTACTGTAATAGTCTGGGCTGTAGTGTCATATACAGGTAACTCGCAGCTTACGTGCATTTAACTTGTGCGCATTCAACTTTACACTCTTGGCAAATAAAAACAAATAAATAAAAAGGGGTCATCGGGGGGGGGGGGCTTTGGCAATTCCACTCGCCATTGCACTCAATGTGTTTTGACTATATGTGATTTTTGGCTTTATGTGTTATTCCTGGAACTTAACCCCCGTGTAAGTTAAGAGTTGCCTGTATTCTTATCTCAAAGATTTTTGTATGGCTTAACTTGACCTGTGAAGGAACACTATCAAGATAAGCACTCCATGAGGTCCTTAACCATTTTACCACTTTATATCATGAAGAAACTATCTAAATTATAGGCCTCCTATGGTGATAGCATTTATTTTTAAAGGACCACTGTTGTCAATAGAACTAAATCTGCTTCTAATTGCAGCATTGGCACTTATATGGTAAACAATTAAATGCCTACATTTGAATGTTGCTAATTCTTTTTATAGCTCTTGAACCTGATTGTGTGGACTGCACCAAGTTCTTGTTTTTGTGTTTTACATTTTAATTTAGTTTTGCATTTCATAGCACTTTGTTGGTTATACATACTGCCAGTTACCTTTCAGCTGTATGTGAACTGGTTGCTAATTTATTTTATCCCCTTCCTACAGCCAAAGGTCAAATCTAAATGGCTTGAGGGACGTTTCAAAAGAAAATTAACAAAAAGGCCTAATTTTCTTGATAGTATTCCTAGCTACTCTGGGGCTTCTTTAAAAGGGCAACTGGAGTAGCCATCACCAATATGCAGAAAGGACTGTAACTTAACTTCTATTGACATTGCTTCTGAACTCCAACTAAAGATATATACAAATTTCATTAAAAAGGTCTGTTTTTATAATTATTTATATATTGTAGGCATTATACTGGTTTAATACATCTGTGCTGAATTTTAAGTAGCAATCCAATTAACTTTTTTAGGACTGAGAAATCCTGTTTTCAGAATCCCTTCTTTTAATGTAATGTTGCTGCTTTGTATTACTTTTCTACTGTATGTTTTCTTTACCTAGATCTTTATTAAGAAAATTTGGAGTAAAATAAACATGTTCTTTCGAGTGATTCTGTCTCATGGGAGTCTCATATGAAATAGGTTGCCAGTGCTCCAGTTCTCATTAGGTGGCAGTAAGACCCTGCGATATCAGAGGAACTTATCACTAGTTTAATGTGTTGCAGCATTGGGATACATAAATTTTGTATTTTCATGCTGTGAACCGCCCTGAGATCTTTGGATGAAGAGTGGTATACAAATTTAAAATTAAGAAGCATCACAGTTGTATGCAGGAGTTCTTCCAGGGCCACCTGCCCTGTCCTTTCCGGCCTTCCCCTGCTGCCATTGCAGTTCCTCCTTCCCCTTGCAGTAGTTTTCCCTGTTGCCCTGCCTGTGTAGTTGCTTAAAGGCGCACTCTGATTCTTGGGATCAATAGGTAGGCCAGCATAGTCTCCTTCCCCACTCTTGGCCCCCATGTTTATAATGGAAGCTGGCAGCCCAGGCAACTGATGCTGAGATCTCATTAAAATCCAGCTGTGCAGTGGAATTAAACAGCATTTTTTCCTTAGCACTTAAAAATCCAAGCAATTGTTTTACTGTTGAGCTAAGCAGCAGCTTAGATGGGCACCCTGGGCTCCATACTGGGGTGTCAGAGAGCCAGGGCACTTCATTCCCTCCCTCTGTTCTCCTATGGCTGCTTTCAGGAGGAGAAAATTAGCTTTTGAGATTCTTGGCAAATAATTGTGGCTCCAGAGCTCAAACTTCCCTGCTTTAGTTGGACAACCAGAAACCAGATGAAATGATCTGCTACAGGCATGTGAGGTCCTTCCAGGGATGTTCTGGGTTTAGTGTAAGCTTAACCCAAGTATTTTTGGTTATTTTAAACCTACCTTCTAACCATATGTCACACCTGCCCCTTTACCTTTGATATCTTAGCAGGTACTGTTGTACTACAGACCCATAACCGGGGGGGGGGGGATGTGCTGATGTACATCTTTTCCTAATGTGTAAACATGCTGCATGGAGTTGACTGGAGAATGCACAGAATACTTTCAGAAAGCATTTTTCGCACAGAAGATGCACGATGAGAAAAAAATGTGTTTTTTTACATAATCTCAGTAACCCAAACAGTAAGCATAAAACAATATACAAATACTTAGAAGTTACAATCTATCACTTATATAGGTAAGCATACAGTGACCATGCTTTTCTGCTGTTTTCTTGTTATTATAGGTGCCAAAATCACACCAGACCATACATTTATATAACAGTCTGACCTTTAGCCTCCTTCAGATTGTCAGTCAGCTTTTCTGTTATTGCCAAACTTTTCCAAGCCAAGGCGGCTCCCTTTAGCCTTTCCCAAAACCTGGCCACCTTTTGAGGAGCTGCTATCGAAAAAAGCCCTATCAATTCTTTATTTTTTAGGTCTATATTTTGTCAAAGCTGTAACATTTCTGTTTTTGGTCTTGTGGTACATTGTTATGCAGTGTCAAACCACTTGCCTCAACTGTCAGTCAAAGAGGACCCAAACATTAATCCACATGGTCTATGTGCGAATATTCAGACACACACCTGACCAATTTTTAGGGAAATGCCTTTTGCTTAGCAGTTATACCCGTGTGGGGTCTTGACTCACCATCTTTAAATAAGGCCAATCAATTTATCTGTGAACTTCAATAACACTTTGTGGGGTTTTGGGGGGCATTATTCAAGTAATATTTTTAAGGGTCTTACCAAAGAATATGCCCTAAAACACTACGATTTGGGCCTGCCTCGAAACCTTGA